CTGGCTCTGAACTGTGGTCTCTCACACAGAGGTGCTAATTGGAGGGGCAAATAACAAAATGTTATTTGACGTTCTGTACAGTTACCTTCCATGTGTTGACTTGATGGTTTAGTGCCTTTTTAATAAAAAACAACAACAACTCCATCCTTTGACACAGATTGAAGCTGTGGGGGAGACTAGAGAGAATGTGCTGGTGTTCTTCAAGCTGCGTCCCACAGTGATCACAGAAGATAACCTTCATCACAGCCTTCTGGTTTCATCCATGCTGGAGTCTCCCATTAACACCCTCTATCAGGCTGTCAGACAGGTTTTCGCACCTGTACTGCTAAAGGTGAGTCTGTCCCTGTGCATTGAGAGGTTCCAGATATGTTACATGAAAAATCATTATCTGTAGTTAGACTAAGAAAGAAAGTTTTTTTTTTCTTTTTGTTTTTTTTTAACTTTCCTTTTGTTCTCTCAAGGATGAGCGTTGGCGTTCTGCATTTGACCCTAAACTGGCTGGCCTCCTGAGTGAGCTGGAGCTGGGTCTGGGTTCAGTAGTTCGCCAGTCTGGGACACAACCTTCTGCCAAGAAGGGTTGCACAGAGGAAGATGTCTTGGGTATGCGCACATATTGTTTGCAGAGTATATTTTAGCAGAAAGGGTGTTAATGAATGGTTATGGTAGTTTTTTAAATTGTTGGATTTTGGAGCGATGTAATCATATGCATAATGAGTGGTAAAACGTCTTGCGAGTATGTGTATATCATTTTGTATATCACTGATTACGTTATGACTTTTAGACATTGTACATCATATTTCTTACACTCTGCAGGCATCCTGACTCCCAGCGATGAGTTCCAGTACTGGGCAGATCTCTCAGAGTCTGCAGAGAAGAGTAGTTTGAGAGAAAGATCTCAACATTTCACGGAGCACTTCAAACCAATACAAAAGGTATGAATGCATGTATCAAGACTTACTCATTTAAAAAATGAATACAAATAAAAATGAATACAATTATATGATGCTAAATATAGTTTTTGTACAAAGGGGGGAAGGTAATTAAACTATGAGATGAGAACTGTATTCTGTTACTGTACTAAGCAATAATTCTATAAATAAGCTGGTAAAGCAATGTTATTTACAATATGACAAATTTAGACATTTAAAATCTTTAAAGCTTAGCACTGTATAAGTGCTGTTTTCAACAGTAATTTGTTACTATTACATAGCTGTTAACACACCGGGAGGAAACTAAAAATGATCACTGATCTCTTTGTGTTGCCACCAGGAATACGATGGTCTCGATAGCCTATCTATGTCTGATGTTATGGATCTGGTGGAACAGAGCAGGGACGCTCTGGATGACATTTGGAGGCAGACTGATTACGACCCTTACCCAGAGACACGCATGGTCCGCCTCATGGATGTCATCGGTAGGACTCTCAGACACACACAAACCAAAAAGGGGAAATGAGAGAAAATATTTGCCAATGACAGTACTTACTTACTCCTTATATTACAAAGTAATAATTGGCCATATTTTGGGAACTGAAACAAATGTCCTTTTTTGTACTTGCTACGCACTGCAATTACGTACTTTATGCTAAAAATAAAGCGCTTACATGCTTTAGATTGCAGTGACGTACTATCGAGGTCTCTAGGTTTTGGATAATATGTTGCCAAATATACCTGTTATGTGCCTGTGAAATCTTTTTTAAATTGTTGGTTTTTTTTAAATATGCATATGCATGTAGCAACTGTATTCTTAATCTTCTTTTTGCATTTCTTTATATCTACCTGTACAAGGCGGGGCCCTGGGGAGATTTGTCCAGAGGAAGCTGAGTGGTCTTAAAATCTTTGAGGAACCATTTGTATTAGTGAGAGAGAACCTGAGAACGGGTTTTGCCATCTGTGAACAGTGGGTTGTAGCCTGTGAGCATTTAACTGGACAGGTATGGGAAGCTTCAGAAAATGAGAAAAAATAACAGTGCATTTGGAAAATATTCACTTGTTCTACATTTTGTCACGTTACACATTTTTAATAAATCAGCTAAAATTTCACAGAAACTTTTTTTCACTTTGTCATTATGGGGTGTTGTCTGTGAAATCTTCTGGTGAAAACTGAACTTAATCAAGTTTAAAATAATGATGTAACGTGACAAAAAATGGAACAAGTGAAGCGCTGTGAATACTCTCCAAATGTACTGTATGGTGTAAGAAATATATTTTCTTCAAGCTGGAAATAGTGTGTAAAATTTGACAGATACTGTTTCTTCATTTTGTGAATTAAAAGCCAGATGAAGATGATTTGTGTTCAGTCCCGGAAACCTGTTAAATTATTTTTGTTATTTTTTCCTCAGGTCTGGAAGAGACATGCCCCCCACCCCTGGAAGGGAAACAAACACTCCCCGGAAACCCTGCAGTGCCTCGCAAACAGATTGAATGAAGTAAACTGTGGCTCTGTTCCAGAACACTTCTTGTTTACTTTAACGAAAACAGGCAGAATTTTTGTTTTGTTTTGCTTGTTCTTGCACAACCTCTTTGTTGTTTGCTTTGAATACAGCGATTAAATGAAACTTACAGACACACTTTTAATAATCAGTTTCCTTCTTGCTACTTTTTTAGACGTCACATTTAGGTGGAATTTTCCCTCGCATGTTTTCTACTGAAGAACAGAACACAAAAAAGTGTAATATAAGGCCAGTAAAAGAGATTGGCCCTTAAAATAAATAGATAAATAGAAAAAAATTGTTTTGGAGCTCTTGTTAAAATACATTCAGGCCTAAGTTTTGTCATTTCATAAGTTGTCAGTCTCTTATAAAGAAGACCTGTTATTAAATAGAGTATTTGATTATTTTTGTTTTTAATTTCAGAAAGGTTTTATTAATTGAAACACATGTAGCCACTATTTCCTCTTCTTTTTTTCTGACAACTATATTTTATCTGCCCTGTTTTCCATGGATGGAACATGGATGTTTGTTACTCTACACTAAGAAGTCACAAGTCATATTGTTGACTCTTGTGAGAATGGATATTGGACACTGATGTGCACACTGTACACTTTTCTGTTTATGTTTTCCAGGTTGTGACTCTACGTGTGGTTCATGAGAAGCTGCTGTGTTTGCTACCAGGAGCGAAGCAACAGGCTCTGACTGTAGAGCGTGTTTTCGAACCATTCTCTGGGCTCAACCCTCTGCATTACAACCCTTATACAGAGGTTCGATATAAAGAACTTCACGTGTCTGTGTATCTCGTTTCTGTCATCTGTATGCAACTGTTGTGGATTGTGGTAGACCGAGTGGTAGCAGTTCAAGTGAATCATTGGTATTTATCACTTCTGAAGAATCACAGTTTAAACCACATTTACCACTGAATAGGCTCTGTGTGGCAGAGACGTGCTACCAGATGGCTGGGAAAGTACAGCTGAACTGGTGATAGAAACCAAATTCCAGGAAGATATTTAGTGTGTTCAGAACCAAAGAAGGAAGATAAAGACACTAGGTGGTGGAATGAGGAAACACAGGAAAGTATTCAAAGAAAGAGGTTGTCCAACAAAAGTCAAGTCAAGTGGCTTTATTGTCATTCCAGCCATGTGCAGTGGTACAATACACAGTGAAACGAGACAACGTTCCTCCAAGACCCTGGTGCTACATATGACATATAACAGACAATCAACAGAGGATTACATAAAGTGCAATGTGCATAAATTGAAAAAACAAAACAAAAAAACAAACAAAGACAGTCCAACACCCAACAGAACAGGAGGATACAGACACAAAACAGTGCGGACACAACAGTGCAATAGAAATGTGCAAAAGATTAAGTATTGTGCAAAAAGTCACTTGGTTCATGAAGGTGTGCGTGTGTGTATGAGATTCTGCAGATAAGTGATTGGTAGTGATGTGTATGAAGGTATGTGTGTGTGTGTGTGTCAGTCCAGTCACTGAGTGTTCAGGAGTCTGACGACCTGGGGGAAGAAACTGTTTCGCAGTCTGGCAGTGAGGGCCTGAATGCTACGGTACCTGTTGCCAAAAGGCAGCAGGGTGAAAAGTGTATGTGACGGGTGTGTGGGGTCCTCCACAATGCCGGTGGCGTTCCAGATGCAGCGGTTACGATAAGTGTCTGTGATGGAGGGAAGAGAGGCTCCAATGATCTTTTCAGCTGTTCTCACTATCCGTTGTAGGGTAGTGCGATCCAATTTTGTGCAGTTATCATACTAGACAGTGATGCAGCTGCTTAGGACGCTCTCAATAGTCCCTCTGTAGAAGCTGGTGAGAATGGATGGTGGGAGATGGGCTTTTCTCAGCTTCCACAGGAAGTAGAGATCCTAGAAAAATTGGGATTGTCAAGAAGAAGAAGAATAGTAGACAGGTAAATGAAAAAGCTTATAGTGAATTGTATGTAAGGCTGGGTGCTAAGGAAGATTAGATTGGCTTGAAAGGATGTGCAGCAGGTTAGGATGGTTAAAGATGGAGCTGTGAATGTATTTAAAAGTGACAGGAGTGTGTTAAGAAGATGAAAAGAGTACTTTGAGAAGCTGATCAATGAAGGAAATTACAGTGACAGGAATAGATAGAGAAGGAATGATCATCATCAGTGATCATGAAGTGCAGAGGATTAATAATAGCAATCAGTGCTTACTCTGATTTTTTTGTGCTTTTATAGCCTCTTTGGAGAGCAGCAGTGGCTCAGTTTGAGCGTCTAATGGCTCCATCAGAGCAGGAGGTTGCTGGCAGACTGAAGAGCTATATAGCTGATGTACAGGACAACCCACAACAGGTAGTGAAACATCACACTTCAGCTCAGATTGTGAAATATTGTGTGGGTGTGTGCTGATGAGTTAACTTACTGGATTTGCCTGAGTGTGTATTTATTTCCCAGCTATTACAGGTATTTCTGAAACATAAGGAGCTTATAAGACGTCCCACCATCCGCAAAGAACTGCAGTCAGAGAGAGAGACCCTACTGGCGAGATTACTAGACGACAACAAGGGTACATAGTACACACACACACATACATACATACATACATACATACATACATACATACATACATACATACATACATACATACATACATATTTTTCTCAGTTTTTGACTTTACAGTGATTTGTCTAAACACTGGAGGATAATACAAACACCTTGAATAAATCCTGTTTATGCATGCTGTATATTTATGTGACAGTGAATGCTGAATTAATGTTGTTTTAACAATGTTATTGTCCATAACAGCTGATTTTATTGTGTAAGGCTGGGAGAAAGAAATTTAGAAATGATTTTGTTTGAATAGAGCAATAAAATTCTATAGATGTTAGAGTGAATGTCCTGAGAGCAGTATGGTGAGTGTCTAGGAATGCTGGTATTAGTTCAGTGTTATATGTTAAATAATATGTCTAATATGTCTTCTCTCTTTTGGGAAACTAGGTGGTAATAAATTGTCACTTCTGATTTCTGACGCCCCCTCTTCTCTTTTGGTTTTCTCAGGTCTGAAAACTGACTTTGAGACACGCTGCCATGGAAGTCCTGGTGACAAGTCTGGCCCCCTTATTGGCCGAAACCTCCCTGAGGTGGTCAACAAAATAGTTTGGGTGCAGCAGCTCCTACACAAGGTGACTGGTTCATTTACAGCTGCCAGAATGGCGATGTAGAGTATGGCACCAACATGTGAGCACACCTCTCCTAACCCTACCTTACTGGCCAAATAGCACCAAACCCAGGCTTCTCCACAGCAACCCAGACTGTCAGTGGCAGCTCATAGATTTACCTGACATAAAAAAAAACTCTCAGTCAACTTTATTGTTATGACACGACATTAATGTCAAAAATTATTGCTACTGGAACTTTTATGGCCCTACACTGTAAATGCCAACAAAATGTAAGATTTACATGAGGTACTGTGTTTAAGCTGGTGATGTACCACTTACTTTTGCTTTAATGATGAACAATTTCTTGTTCATTTACTTTTCTGCATTCATAGTTCAATCAAAATTTTCAACCTCGCTGGATGAAATGCTGCCTCCACTGTTTTTTTACAGATTACTGTAGACACTTACTGCTATATCTACCTCCTGGCCTCCTCCTTACATACTGATGACAATGAAAAGCAATGTGAAGCAGCATTTTCAAATTTGGATTAATTGCTCCATAAGACCTGCCACTGATTTTCAGTCTAATTTTGTGTAATGAGGCATATTTCGGCTGTTTCTTCCTGTTCCCCTTTTGACAGCCACCCTTTCACTGAAACCGTTTCTGATGAGCCTTCAGAAGTCATTTGGGTCATTTGATAGTCCAGATGCATATCTCAGTTCCTGTGTCAGCTCTTTGCTGGATTTTTTCGTATTTGTTAAAGACAAGGCTTTCAGATACTGTTGATGTGCTGTAGATATTTTTAGGCCTCAACTTCTTGAATTTCCTAAAATATTCAAGTCCTCAAATTGCCCAGTTTCCTCAAAATGCCCAAAGATAGCAAATAAAGTTTTCTCCCATATGTAGACACAATGCTGGCTTATATATTTAGTTAGGTGCCTTTTTTATGCTGGAATAAGTCATAGGTCAGTGTTAGGAGCTTAAAAACATAAAAAAAACTTTGAAAATGGTCAGGTACACAGAGTGGACTGAAAATGAGTGAAAAAGCAGCTAATCTTTAAAGAAAAACTTTGGAAAAACTTCAGAAAGTCTGAAGAACAATTGCTCAAGACCACTTTAAAACATTTTGAGACAGTTTCATTCTTGAAAGCAAGATATAAATAAATGTAGAGTGCTCAAGACTTTTGTACAGTGCTATAAAACAACTGTTACATTTGCAGTTTTTTTTTGTTTCTAATATGTCAAATACAAAATAATTTCTGTGACAGTCAAAAGAAAATGTATTTTATTTTCATGTCTTTCATTCTTACAATAGGTTGAAGACTCTGTCCGCCTAGCTGAGGCTCTGCTTTCAGATCTCTCTGGGTTCAAAGGGTTCCTGCATTTCTGTGATGACCTGCTGGAGATTCTGAGGGCCTATGAACAAGAGCAGTTTGAGGACTGGTCAAGAGATATACTTTCTGAGCTGACTGACCCAAAGTCAGGGATCAGGTCTGTAATATTTCGACCTTAGGTTACAAAATCCTAGAAATGAAAGTGTAAAGAAGAACTTCAGTTGAAGCATCACAGAAGAGTATGTTGGTCATTAATATACAAGTTTGAAAGAGGCATGCAATTCTACAATGTTATTAAATCCTTTTGCAATTGTATGCTGTTTTTTTGTATTTTTTATTTAATCATTTAAAATACCCAGAGTGGAACGAATATTGGCTTGAATGGATGTTACATTTTGCACTTCTCTATTCTCACACCCTGTATAGTCTTCAGGCCAGTAACCGTGTGATGGAGCTGGACCATGATGATGGCAGACTCAAGATTCAGTACTCAGACAGACTAGTCAGTCTGCTCAGGGAGGTCAGGCAGCTCTCTGCCCTGGGCTTTTCCATCCCAGCCAAGATACAACTGGCTGCTAATACTGCAGATAAATTCTACAGACAAGCCATTGTCCTAAAACAGGTGAGAGCGGAAGCTAAGACATGCAATATTTTTTCTTTCCTAATTTATTTATATACATTCAGTTGCCACTTCAGTTGTTACGTGCAGGAAGTCCTGAGTTACATCCTGGGTTTGCCCATTGCCCAAAAAAGGTGCTCTGTTGGATTGAGATCTGGTAATCGTGGAGGCCATTTGAGTACAGTTTATAAAGTGCCAAATCACAACAGCAGTTGCCTCAAGGCACTTTATGTTGTAAGGTAAAAACCCCCCACAAGGTCAGGTGACCCCAAATGAGCAAGCACTTTGGTGACAGTGGAAAGGAAGAATTCCCTTTTAATAGGAAAAAACCTCCGGCAGAACCGGCTATGGCATTTAAATGATGATCAGTATTTAATATGGAGCCTAAGTGTGGCAAGAACATATCCTTCAGACCATCACACCACTACACCAGCACCACCGGCCTGAACCACTGATATAAAGCAGGATAGAGCCATGTTTTCATGTTGTTTACACCAAATACTGACTCTGTCATCTGGATGTTGCAGCAGAAATTGAGATTCATCAGACCAGGGAATGCTTTTTCTAATCTTCTATTGTCCAGTCTTGTTGAACCCATGAGAATTTTAGTTTCAATTTCCTGCTACTACCTGACAGGAATGGCATGCAGAATGCTCTTCTGTTAGTAAAGCCCAATATAGCAATAAGGTTTGGTGTGATTTGTGTTCAGAGATACTCTTCTGCATACCTTGGTGGTAACAAATAGTTATTTGAGTTCCTGTTGCCTTCCTGAATTAGTCTGACAAGGTCTTTTTAGTTTGCTTGCTGGTGTTTTCTCTCTTTTAGACCAGTCTCTGTAAACCCTAGAGATGGTTGTGAAGGAAAATCCCAGCAGATCAGCAGTTTCTGAAACGTTCAGATTCAGACTTGGACTAAATTCATTGAGTTGGTGCCATGTGATTGGCTAATTAGATATTTTTGTTAAAGAGCAGTTGAGCATGTATTCCTAACGTAGTAGCCAGGGTATATCTGTGTATATCTTTATGAATATCTATTGCTTTTTTTATGCTCGTATTGTTACATATTACCGTTTTCATAGGTTGCTCATTTCTACAACACCATTGACCAGCAGATGATTCCCTCTCAGAGACCTATGATGCTAAATCTTGCCCTGGCCTTTGAGCATGTCATCAAGGTACAGCACACGTTTGAAAGTATTGTTTTATAATACTAATTGTATAAGAGTCAAAGTTGATGAGTTGTTCAAAATGAAAATTTGCTTGCCATCGATTTTGTGTCTTGACGTGGAGATAATCGGTCTGCTTGTCTTTGTAAGAATCCTCGTTCTCAGTCAAAGAAAACAGGAAGTAAGCTGCAGATCACCTGGGACAACCCCAAAGAGTTAGAAGTCTACATTGGCAAGCTGCAGGCTGCTGCTGAAAAACTCTCCACCGAAAACAGGAAGTTACGAAAATGGCACACTGACTTCATTGAGAAGGTGCTAGCAGAGACACAGTATTTAAATTTTTGGCCTTTAGTACAGTTCTTTGCAACAACACTTCCCCACTCAAATTGGAATAAGCAGCAAAAGTCTTACTATTCTCTTTGTTCTTCTCCGTATCTGTGGGTACATTTTTTAGGTCGTGACACTGATGAATGTTGACCTACTGAGACATCAGCAGCGATGGAAGGATGGTCTTCAGGAGCTTCGTGCTGGTTTTGCCACTCTGGAGGCTCAGGTATTGACTGGAGATGTCTTGGATGGAATGTGTCGCAGATGTTTTGCCTAATAGGATTTTTATTTTGTGCATAAAATAATTTTTTACAAATAGTTGCGTTGATTTGGCTATAATAGTAAATAAAAAAAATTAAAATACGGAAGTAAATATGTCTCCATGTTTTCAGCATGAAAACATTCTTATTTCAGGATAAATCATTCTGGATAAATAGTTAAAATATTTTTTGTATAGGAAATAAAAAGTGTGTGTGTGTGCGTTTGTGTCTGTAGGGCTTCAGGTCTGATGACATGCGGGCATGGCGTCAGCACTGGAACCATCAGCTGTACAAAGCTCTTGAACACCAGTATCAGACTGGGCTGGAAGCACTGAACAAGAACTTGCCAGAAATACACATTGATCTCACTTTCAAGTCAGTGCCCAAAATTTCACTTGTCCAGGTTTCGCTTTCTCTCTCTGCCCTCTAACTCTTGTCATCTTTTTTCCCTTCTCTGCATTTTCTCTGCATCTACATTTTCAACTTCTCTTGTCAATAACAGCAACTACTGACTTTTCCCCACACCTCTCACTTCTCACCCTTGGTCATATCAACAGTTTTCTCTACCTCTCTATCACTTCCTCTTTCTTCTAAAAGGGTATCATCGATTAATGTGGATTTAAGAGTAAACCGTGGAGTCGTTTTAATCCTGTTCTTGTTAACAGGCAGGGCCGCTTACAGTTCTCGCCACCATTTGAGGAGGTGCGTGCACGCTATTTTAGAGAAATGAAGCGTTTCATCTCGATCCCAAACCAGTTCCGAGGGGTCAGCACCCAGGGGGAGGAGCTCATCTTCAACATCATGATTGACAGGAATGCGTCTGGGTTCCTCACAATTTTCAGCAAGGCTGAGGACCTCTTTAGTCGCCTGGAAGCTATACAACACAAGTTCAAGGTGTTTTGACTTTTATAATTACTCTGAGAGTGATTTGTTATTAACTTTCCTTTAAGAGAGCCTCTGTATAGTGTTTTATGTACAAAAAAGAAAATTTGCATGTTGTGTAACTCTTTGACACCTGGACCGGATTTGAGGCTGGTCAAATTCGGACTCGAGATTTAATAACTTCCGATCAGTTATTTGGCTCAGCACTTAAATCTTTAGTATTATCATCATCATGGTTCTGACTTGATTTTAGTTTCTTTCAGCAGCGTACCATTTTATATATGTACGTATATTTAAAATAATGAAACACTTGTCACAAGTTTCTCACTGAAGCACTGCACTGAGGAATAACTGTATTGCTGTCTTTGAAAGAATGAAACCTGGATCAGTCATGGTTCTCTTTTTTTTTTTTTTTGTACTGAAGCTCTGTTGTTTCACTGCTGTGTTCCCCTGCATACTACCATGACAGAACAGTTTATTGTCTTTTCCCTTTAGTCTGCGATCATGCATGTATAAATTGCAGGGGGAAGCCCTCCGCCCGCACCAGACTTCTCTTTTATCTCATCTTCTCTTTACTTCTCTTTTTATTTAGTCATCTGTGTCTTGATGGATGATATCGTTACTGTCACCTTTAACACAGACACCTTTAAAAATAGGAAATATGCACTGCACCCCGCCTCACTGTGATCCTGTGTGCGTGTGTGTGTGTGCGTGAGTGCAGGAGTGGGTGGTGTTGGGACAGACTGATTTAGAGAAGTTGATCGAGAAGCATTTGAGTTCTGTGCAGGACTGGGAAAGAAATTTCAAAGCCCTGAAAGCCAAGGGAAAAGAGTCAGAACGTTTACCCAGGTACACATCACGTATTAACTAATGTAATTAAACCTGGTAAAATGAAAATGATATTTATGCTTACACATAAGGACAGTAAACATTGCAAAAAGTGTATAGACTGTATTGTTATATACTGTTTATATAACTAGGTCATTCACAGATTGTTTTGATATCTTAACAAGTTAATTGTTAATCGAGTCCTCTGAAGTGTTTTTCTCTGTAACAGCTTGGGAAGGTTTGTTTAATCATACCAGCAAAGATCACACATCAAATTCATAACTTTTAGAAAATGATGCACTCCAGAAAAGCCCAAGGCATTATGTTCTGTTCTCTACTAAGAATTTGTCTCACTGTCTGAGTCAGTGACCTGCTTTATCCATTTATAGTTTTACTTATTATATTTCTTTATTGGGTACAGTTTGTGCAGTTAAAAGTGAACTTACACCACAAATGTAACACTTAACAACTGCATTTCTGTCACTGGCCTCCGTTCTTTGTCAGTCAGGAGAAAGTGGACTGCATCACCGTCAACTGTGAGCCTGTAAAAGCCGCCATAGATGACCTGATTCAGAGGCTGTTTGACATGCTGCTCCTCTCACTTAGGAAATCTATACAAGGTAAACACAGACACCTTGATTTTCCTTGTTTTTTCCAGTATGTAATGTTTGTGGCAGAACGAAAACACTCGAGCCAAGCCCCCACTTTGTTTCTCTCTTTGCATCAATAAATGCTTTTATATAAAAGACATTAAGTGTATCTCACCAATGAAAAAACATTGTTTTATTTCTCTTTCTCAATTTTGTGTCTGTGTTTTGAAAATTTGTTTTCCATTTCTTCAGCTCTAAGATATCCCCTTTGCTCTCACTTTCCCTTTCCTTTTCTGTTTTCCTTTTTTGAAAGTATATTCTCTTCCTTCTTGCTTGCAGGCCACACACAAGCAATAGAAACTTTTGTGACAGAATCAATGGAGGCCTTGTCCACTCGACCAGAGAGTATGGAGGAAATTGGTGCGGCTAGTGCCAAATATAACCAGATACTTGCCCGCAAACCTGAAGTAAGACACAAGCACTCCTAAACCCAGCTCGTTAGGGTTTTTTGTAAATTTCTTCCTTCCTTGTTTGTGGGTAATTTTAGAATTCAAGGTTAACTTTCATACACCTAGTAAAACATTTTGCTCCCTGTCAAAGAAATAAAAGCTTTGTCTTCCTTAATGCATTTTACAGTATGTCTCGTCATATTTCTGATTGATTTATAGCATTGGTCCTATAAGTCCACAAGGAACGGTCTAAAATTTAACCATGTCATTTGAAACAAACTGTGCTTCATGTCTATACAGATTCTACCTCAGTTCCAATTTGCTGAGGAGAAGAACCGCTTGCTACGTGCGGTGGCTGGAGCTGGGCTGGACTCTCTCTCTTCACTCAGGGCCAAGTGGGACAAGCTGGAGCTTGTCATGGAGAGCCACCAGCTAATGGTCAAAGACCAGGTGACATATACTCATACAGACACACTGAGATCAGCTTATTGCTCCAATTGGTTTTTCAGATCCTACTTTCCTCAGAATGACTCCTTCTTTTTCATGCATGGTACTCTCTTAGGTGGAGGTGATGCGAAGTTATGCGGCCAGTCGTATCGATGTTTACAGGGCAGATCTGGAGCGATTTAAGGCACGCTGGGACCAGCTAAAACCTAAAGATGAGATGCTTGAGACTGGTGATCATGCTGCCCTGCTTGTATGTCTTCAGACAATCAGGGACAAACAGCAAGAGTTTGAGGAGCTAGAGCTTGTGCGCACTAAGCTGCTGTACGTTTATTTTCATTCAGGTTTATTCACTAAGAGATTTAGAATGTTTAAAGTATTTGGGATTTTTATTTCCTTTATCGTGTGCCACATGAAAAACTTGTACAAGATCATTTTCAGTTATGACTCTGGTGTGAAGAGATCGCATTTAGTTCAATTACGGCCAAAAGTCTGACTCTCCTGTGCTCTCCTCAGTGAAGACTGTGCCTATTTCAATCTGGAGACTCCGTCTTTCTCTGTGGCCGAAGAGACAAAAAGAGACATGGAGGAATGCAGCCAAATGTGGGGTCTGTATGAGGAGTGGCACCAAGGGTTCTCAGAGAATGCCCAGGAAGACTGGATATCATTCAGGTAGAGGGGGGTCATGTTTAGGGCTCATATCTTAACTTTTATGTAGAGTACTGATTACGTTTTTAATCAGTACTATGTGTTTAGTCATGTAATTGTGTGTGTTTTTTCTTTTAATTTACAGGAGTAAAACATATGTATTTGAGGAGTTTTTGTTTACTTGGCAAGACAGACTAAGAAAACTAGAGCAACCCACTGTGATGTCTGTTAAACTACAAGGGGAAGTCGACAAATACAAGGTATATACTAGTACAGTTCAAGTAATAATATGTCGCTGCCTTCTTTTCGTATTCAATTCAAGTCTTCTTATCTGAAATATGTGTGTATGCTTTGGCGGAGTCAGATATCCAGAAAACTTATTCTGGTTCTTGTTGGAGTTTACTCAGAAAATGTCACAGCAATTAGCTGCTACATTTTCATATACAGTTTGTTTAAGTGGAAACATGACTTAAAAATGTACACAGTTCCATCCTTTCTCCTCGTTTCTCCTTTTTGAGGCAGGGTACACCCTGGACAGGTCACCAGTCTGTTGCAGGACTAACACATAGACACAGACAACCATTCCCACTCACATTCACACCTATGGGCAGTTTAGAGTTTCCATTTAACCTATCCCCACTAACTGCATGTCTTTGGACTGTGGGAGAAAGCCAGAATACCCGGAGAGAACCCACACAAATGGGGGGTGAACATGCAAACTCCACACAGAAAGCCCCCGGCCTGATGGTGCTGCCCTGTCGTACCACCATGCCACCCCCAAGCGGGAATCCCAGCAAAGGTGGGATGTTCCCTCGGGGGCTGTGACGTCTCATTTGAATCTACACGGCTGTGAGGGAAATCTTTAATCTGACTTTATAAGTGATCTAATTACAAATCTTGTTTTGTTTTCTTGTTTTTTGTTTTTGTTTCCTTTTCTTTTTCGTCTCAATATCTAGAACATGATTCCAGTGCTGAAGTATGTATGTGGGGACCACCTGTCTCAGGACCACTGGTTGGACATGTTCCGTTTACTAGGCCTCCCAAGAGGGATGACTTTAGAGAGACTTACCTTTAGTGATCTTCTTGCTGTGGCAAATACCATCATAGAGAAAGCAATGGAGCTCAAGGTCTGTACAAACACACTTTTGAAATTGTATATAAATGTCTTTTTTAGCGCCCTAATCTTTAGGGAATCAGAACTCAGTAATTTTCAGTAATGGCATGATAAAGATCGTAACTGATATATATAAAGCTGCTTTGGCCTGCATTTGTATATTTGTATTGGCCCGAGTTTCGCCTTAATCATGTGTCGTGCAACATGTAGTATACATGGGGTAACGAGAAGCGATTAACACCTCACGACCAGCTCCCGATCAAGAAAATCGCAAGAAAATCAAACCTGTCTGAAATCCTGAGGGTATTAAAGCAACCTCTCACACGGTGCACGCACAAACACAGAAATGGAAGTGAAAAAGTCAGTACATCACGACTCGAAGCTGAGAAATGTTAGTCTTCCAGGTTTTTTGGAAAAAGTTGGCATGTTGGCAGATTTCAGTGATGTGTTGGAAATGTAATGAGGCAAACGGGCGGTCCAGACGCAAAACCCTATATGACTGATGCAGAGGCGTGTGTTTTTTGTGTGTGCATGTGGTGCACATTGATATAGGATCTGAACAGTCGTGCTCAGGCGGAGGTGACGATCAGAGAAGCTCTGAGGGAGCTGGATTTGTGGGGAGCTGCAGCTACCTTCACCCTCACTGAGTACAAAGACAGCAGCGGGCGCACTCTCACCCTCATCAAGGACTGGAAGGATATTGTCAACCAGGTAGATGTGGAGCACACATTAAAAAAAAGACATCAAGTCAGCTGTTGTGTACAAATATAAAATGCAGATTTGGTTCACAATGCCACACTGAATCTCTGAAGTTTGACTAGGAAAGTAAATTGAGTTTTTTTTTAATTGGTTAGAGTTGACCATAAATCATTTTATGAAAAATAGTCACATCTCCTGGATGGACCTTGCACCCCTCCCTGGTTGTCTGGTTCTCTTTTATGGCCCTCAAAAATCATGTTGTATATGGTGACCCAGAATTGAAAGCAGGTTGTCTGCTATTCAGAAGGTCCATGTTTCGATCCTCAGTTCCTGCAACGCTAAATTTAAGTGCCTTTAGGCAAGATCCTGAATCGTCAGTACCATTTGATACCTCCATCTAGGTTTGCAGGTGTTACATTAAAAATGCGAGTGTAAAAAGGTACTGTATAAATTGCAGTTCATTTATTGTGGACTAAACTAGGAGAAGGTTGAATACAGAGATCTAATGTAGTTAGATCAGGTGCAGTTAGCCTATAAGAAATTGCTGGGCAGCACAGTGCTTGAGATAGTTCAGAGAAATAAGCTAGAAATTAGCTACTTACTTATAGTAAAAAGAATACAAATCGAGATTAAAACCCCTGAAATGTATCCACTTGTTGAAATTCACTAAAGAAGCACTTGTTTGCTAAGATGGAAATGATGGCCAAATAGGAAACTTTAGACATTTTGAACATTCAAGTGGCTAATGAGATTTTTCTGTTTAATGACTCCAGAGGGACAAACAAGCAAATCTTGGCACTTGCATCCCTTTTTGAGAAACAGCTTCAGTTATCTGCTGCGCTCATTCATCCTCATCTTGCTTTACATTTGTCCTGCTGTAGTTAATCTTTTGCCTGTCTAGATTGGATTGTTTTAGATGTTCTATATTGTTGACTATTGAATCTGCGATGGCCTCTAGATATAATTGAGCTTCATTATATCCTTGGATAGGGTGGCACAAGATTGCTGCTTCTTTCCTCTAGTTTAATTTATCAGAGGAAATTGAATAAGAAAAAGAGCCACAAAGGGATTTGCTGCAATTATACACTTTTTTTGGACTAAAGTATTGCTTTTAGTGATTTAGGCTAACGTGGTTTAAGATACTTCTTGAACACAAATGTATCTGAACATGAGCCCTGAATATACCACATATGGACAAAAGTACAAGACTGCCTACACATACAGTACAGGAGCTTCTCAGCTATGGAAACCTCATCTCAGCAAACTCAGTTTTTGTGCTGATGTTAATGCCAGAGGCGGTGTGGTCGACTTACTGAGTCAACAGAGTGAGGGCGACTTTTACGAACTATGCACCTCAGCACTTGGCACTCTGACACTTTGTGGCTGAGTTTCAGTGGTTTCTGGAAACTTCCACTTTGTAGTAATGCCACTTATTGTGAAATATTTACAAGGGTAGAAATTTCACAAGCTGACTTGTTGCATCAGTGCCACACTTGAATCCAATGAACTCTTTAGAACAGGGGTCTCAAACCAAAATGGGCTGTGGGCCACTGCTGGCACTGTCATCTCATTGGAGGTCCACTTTAGTGTTCAAGTAATACAAAAACAAACAAACAAACACAAAAACACCCACAAATATTTCCAGAAATATAGTGTTTTGCTAGTTTTCTTTAAATGTCAAATATTGTATAACAAGACAAATCTGCAAATGTGAACGTAATTTTTTTTCCTCACTCTTAACTGAGCCCTTTCAACTGATACTACTTTGAACTATCAAATAAACAAATTGTTACTGTCTTTCTGATCAAACGCGTGGCAGCACTTCTACTCTAATTTTGTTTGTATTTAACAAAATAAAAATGCAGACGTAATTGTACACATTAGTTTTTGACTTCTAGTGAAAATTGTTTTCTTTACAAATAACTCTCTCACTGAACCAACACAGCCAATCCCTCAACATGTTTGTACTCTCTGCTCATATTGTTTTCATATTAAATCATTTTTTGCTTTTTAAAGAACTTATTTCAACATTGCATTCAGCAACAAACAAATCATGCCTAACAAAAAAAGTTCAATATGTAATTGCATTACATTTCTTCACGTCAAGTAGGAGTGACGTGGGCCACAAGTGGCCCCCGGGCCGAAAGTTTGAGACCCCTGCTTTAGAATGACCCATACATAAGGTTTGTAGAGGCTTACCAAGATAGAACCCATTGTGTCTGATTGTGAAATAGTGTTATTGTTTTTAAAAAAAAAAGCATTATATAATTAGTACTTGCTTCTTTAAATGTTGCTGTCCATATTTACATGCAAATGTTGTTTCAGTACATCAGTGAAATGTTATGTCAGGCAGTTCAAATAAAAGAGCATACTTGACTCAATTGTTAGGGAGACATAGTTGACACTAAATGCCTAAATGACATCTTATGTATTAGGTATTACGTTTTCACCATTTCTCTGTCTATCTAGGTGGGAGATAATCGCTGTCTGCTGCAGTCGCTAAAAGATTCCCCTTATTACCGCAGCTTCCAGGACAAGGTCAGGTCAAGGTCTTTAAATCTATGAATAAACTTTAAGTGCTTAATTTTTTTTATGTATGGAAAAAGTACTTTTCACATACCTTTCTCAGCTTGTATTGGTACATGCAGTTTTTAAAAAACAAATTTGGTTCATTTATATATTAACATTTAATCCCTGATGAAGAAACTGTGACAAAGGTTTGAGTATTTACTCCACGTATATCCAGGTCAGTCTGTGGGAAGTTCGTCTGTCCGACTTGGATGAGTATCTGCTCAGTCTGAATGCCATCCAGAGGCGCTGGGTTTATTTGGAGCCCATTTTTGGACGAGGAGCATTGCCCCGAGAGGAAGCTCGCTTCAAACGAGTTGATGAAGACTTCAGGTACAGTGTGTGCAGCTCTGTGTAATAACACAAATGAAGCGTTTGCCCATTTAGGCACAATGGTGGCTAACACTGATACTTCACAGCAAGAACGTTCCTGATTTGGACCTTTCCTTCTGGTGTTTGAATGTGCGCACTCACTACGAGTGCATGAGTTTTCTTTGGGTAGTCTAGCTTCCTCTGACAGTTGAAAGACCTCCATGTTTGCAATGTATAGAATAAAACACCATTTGACTGTGTGGTTAAATGTGGCTTGTAGTCTGACGTACTTTGAGTGTTCAGTAAGATTAGAAAACCACTATATACTACATGTGATAATATACCATAAACTACATGTGGCTTCTCTTTTGCTGACAAATAGAAACTGGCATAACTGAACATTTTCTCGCTCCGTGTCTTAGGTCTATAATGTCAGACATCCAGAGAGACAACAGAGTTGTTTCTCTGAGTTCGAGGGCTGGCATCAGAAACTCCCTCGTCACCATACTGGACCAACTACAGCGCTGCCAAAAGTCACTCAATGAGTTCCTGGAGGTGAATACGCACGTGTGAGAAGACATTTGCTTTCTTTCACATGGGTTTCAAATATCACCACTACCTAAATGTGGTTTTGTGTCTGCATCACAGGAGAAACGGTCTGCCTTCCCACGGTTCTATTTCATTGGGGATGATGATCTGTTAGAAATTCTTGGGCAGGCAACCAACCCTAGTGTCATCCAGTCACACCTAAAAAAACTCTTTGCAGGTCAGAGACATGTGTGTTCTTACATTCTGTTGTTGCTGATAATCGTTTGCATTTATCTGCTGTCGCTCTGTCTTCTGCCTGTTTTCCCCCTTTTGTTATATTTGTTCATATTGTTTGAATCATAGCGGTTGTATTGGATAGTGAAGGTAGTCTGCATATATATTCCCTTTGCAGGCATCCACAGTGTTGTGTTTGATGAGCAATGCCAGCACATTGTCGCCATGTGTTCTTTGGAGGGAGAAATTGTGCCACTCAGAAATATTGTACACATTTCCAGCCTTGTGGAGGTAAAGCTATGAATGTATATAAATGGATAAATAGTATTATCATTGTTGGAGGTCTAAGGAGGTACTTGTAGTATGTTTATCCTTTTTAAAAATGTATTCAAAGCAACACAAATATGTATTCATTTTAAACGTTTTATATGCTTTTTCTTTGAACCTTCCTTTGTGGTTCTGCATAAACAGTTTTCCTTCGTTTCTAGGTGTGGTTAAGTGAGCTGTCTGTGGAAATGAAGGAGACCCTAAAGCACTTGCTGTATGAATGTGTGTCGGCAGCAAAGAAAGGGGAAGTGGACCCCTCTCGTTATCCATCACAGGTGCACACACTCATTTATACAACTGCTTTTTAAAAATATTCTTTAAAGCTTGTGATGTAAAAGAAAATACGTTTTTTTCTCCCCAGCATTAAACAATGTTGCATTTTTTCGTGTAGATCCTGTGTCTGGCTGAGCAAATCCAATTTACTGAAGATGTGGAAAGAGCTATAAAAGAACAAAATTTGCATCAGTTGGAGTTGGAGCTTAACAGCAAATTAGAAGTCTATACCACAGTGGACACCAGCTCTGATAACACAGGTAGGGAACACATTTGTGTTTAAGCATCGGGGAAGATAAAGTATGTGTGCCCATTCAGACAGGTGTAACGTTTCCCTGGACGGCATGAAATTCTGCACACATGATATGGATTTTATTTAACATATACGTTTAGCTTAGTGTGTGCATACAAGGATTAAAAAAACTTACAGTTAAAAGCAATTTATAACCAACATTAATGAATAAACATCAAATCTGTGATTATTACAACCAGCCAGTTTCTTTCTTCTTCTTCTTATTTCCACTCCTCCCTTTAGGGATGGCCATAACAAGTCATCTTACTCTCACTCTATCCGTAGTATCTTCTTCTGTCACACAAACCCTCTGCAGGCCCTCCTTTACTTCATGCCTGAACCTTTTATGTGGACTTCCTCTTTTCTTTTTGCCTGGTAGCTGTCTTCAACGTCCTTTGCCCAACATATCCACTACCTCTCTTTTGCTCATGTCCAAAACAGTCTCAGCCTTGCATCTCTGACTTCATCTCCTATCCCAGCTGACACAGGGCGAGAGGTTGGGTACATGCTGGACAGGTTGCCAGTCTGTCACAGGGCTAACACAGAGAGACCGACAACCATTCACACTGTCATTCACATCTGAAGCATATTAAAGCCAATCACCAACTAACCTAACCCTACTAACATGCCTGTCTTTGGAGTGCTTGAGGAAGCCGTAGTATCTGGACAGAACCCACACAGACACGAGGAGAACAAGCAAACTCCACACAGAAATGCCCTGGCCAGATCCAGGACCATCTTACTGTTCGGCTTTGAGGCAACAGTAATCACCATGTCACTGTGTTCACTAGTGTTTCTACAGTTTTTCTTCCTCTAATCCAAGTATTCAGCTAAACGTAGATGCTAGCTTTAACATTATATATAAAGTGATACAATATAACTGATATATAATAGCAGGGCTACTTGAGTGGAGTCCTATGACCCCTAGTGGCCATATTGGCAATTAGAATTGCCAATATTGACTGGTTACGATCTCTGACATAAGGGTAATACACAGAAAGACAGAAGAAGTTGTGATAAACAGGAACTACACAATGTTTTTTCCCCAAGAGGTCTTAAAATATTCACGTCTTTGCCCCACACTTGATGTGTGATTTTTCTCTCTCTCTCTGTGGTTATTTCTACAGCAAATTTCACAACCCTTATTTTAGTTTTTGACCTTTCTGTGAGAGTCCAGATAAACAATTGCTACTTAATATGTGTACTTAATCTACATCAGATACTGATCCAAATCTCAGGCTTGGTTGAATCTGTTGGGATTATGAGATGAGTGGGAAATTAATTCCAAATGAGTGTATCACTCATAGTCTCCTAGGAAGCTGCAAAGGGGCAGTAGTACGCTTTAAATCTGTAGGCAGCATATCTGACAGGCGAATTTAATGACCCGGGGATGAATATATGGCTGCATAAAGCATAACAGCCGACTTTTGCCTCAGAACTCAAATCTGCTTTACTTTTAGATTTAAACAAGTTACTCATTCATGAGATGAAAGCACCAACAGTACCGACATTTCACAGGACATTGGCGTTCTGGGAAATGGTCAAATTCCAAATCTCTTCTGTCATTTTCTTCATGCTTAACTTCAGCGTGTGGGCTAAATTTGCTTTTAGACTTTTTCACAAAGTTGTAGAATACCTTTTATTTTAGTACAGCACTGGATTATATTATATGGAGATATTATATTCTTACATGCACACCTTTTCCATTTATGCCTGTAGCAGTTATTTCCATGATAATACATTATTAAATTACTGGCTTCTGTGTAAAAAACCAAAATATATGGCAATGTTTCTTAGAGATTTCATTAGATAGGACTGACACGCCTAGGTGGTGATGTACTGTAATATTGCAAGTGCTGTTTCTTTTAGCTGTTAAAGAAAAAAAAGGCGGCTTTGGAGTAATTCACTTCTTGTGTCAGGATGGTGCCGGGGGAAGTTTTCATTTTGTTTTCTACTGAAAATGACAAGCTGTATCAAATTGGGGGCTTTTGATAGCTGAAAAGGTTATTATGACTAAACCAGTGTAAAGGCTGCAAAGGCTCATTTTGGACTATTTTGAGTGGTCGTGTCGCTTATTAGTTTTAACTTAACTAATAATGTCTTACTTTTGCTCGTTTATGATTCATTTTGAGAGGAAATGATGGATGCAGGACACCGTTGTGAAAAGGGGTTAAAAAGGGTAAAATCCCTATGTGATGTGCTTTCTTTTAACACCAGTTTGTCTCAAGTGGCTATAAAGTGCTGGGACTGATTAAAGCAGCAAAAGTAATGGCAAGAAAGACAATCTAATTACCCAGTCTGCCTAAAATGTCCATAAATGGTAAATGGCCTGTATTTGTATAGCGCTTTTCTAGTCCCTAAGGACCCCAAAGTGCTTTACACAACCAGTCATCCACCCATTCACACACACATTCACACACTGGTGATGGCAAACTACGTTGTAGCCACAGCACCCTGGGGCGCACTGACAGAGGCGAGGCTGCCGGACACTGGCGCCACCGGGCCCTCTGACCACCACCAGTAGGCAACGGGTGAAGTGTCTTGCCCAAGGACACAGCAACTGAGACTGTCCAAGCCGGGGCTCGAACCGGAAACCTTCCGATTACAAGGTGAACTCCCAACTCTTCAGCCACGATCGCCTCATAAACTCCACAGGAAGTGAGGAGCCATTTGTTGGTGAGGCAAGACAGGATACATTTGGCAGGATACATTTGGCATACATTTGCTGAAGTAATTTGTATGCATCTCTAGCTAGGCTGACACTATTGATGCATACATGTCAACAAGACTATAAAAGATGCCTAAAAGGTGGCTTGAAGTGGTAAAAAGGAGTGTAGCCATAATTGATTTTGGGGGGTTGCTAGGCAAAAAAAATACACATATAAACAGACCCAGAAGCACCAGTGCTCTCTCTGGGCCTTTGTTCGGACTGAGGGAAAGCAGAAAATATTCCTGTGGTCTGACAGGTCAAATTTTAAAACTCTTAGAAATCCTCCAGGCTAAACAGAAAGGCCATCACTCACTTGTTGTAAGCACACAGTACAAAAGCCAGCATCCTCGATGGTATCAATGCGCATTAGTGCACAGGGCACGGGCAACTTACCCATACTGAGAGGCCCTTTTAATACTGAATGACATGTATGTGGTTTCTTTGGCCTTTAAAAGAACATTTACTGCTTTCCAGCAATGTCTTTTTGGGGAGAAGGCCTTGCTTATTTCTGTTATATAAGCTCAAATGCTATTTTTTAATACAAATTACAATGCCCTGAAGTCAAGAACTGACACATGTTTGGAATGATCACCGCTTTACCAAAAGAAAGAGAGAGAAATCCCATATCAAGCAAGAATGTAAAATTCAGGGTTACAGCTGCTGGTCTAATCAGTTCCATAAAACTTGAACAGTGATGAACTAAAGAGGTAATACAGCACTGTTTTTAATGTTTAAATGTGTTGCCTGAGTCATACTGAAAAAAATCATATTGTTCATTTCAGAATTTCTCAGTTCTACACTTTGGTTTATTCAAATTCAATACACTATTGTAACAAATATGAACAATTTCCAGGCCTGGTTAAATCCAGCACCCTGCATTTACAGATACAATGCTCTTTTATGTCAGAAATGTGTTATTTGTGTACTTTTACAGGTTCTGACACCCTAAAATTTATGCATGTCTCCTTGTACAGAGTCTAGTGTCCTGCAATTGAAGCTGAAGGCCTTGATCCTGGATATTATCCACAACATCAGTGTGGTGAAGCAACTTAACCAGGCAGGAGTTACCACTACTGACGCCTGGGCCTGGAAGAAGCAGCTTCGGTTCTATATGGGGCCGGACCAATGCTGCCACATACATATGGTGGATGCACAATTCAGCTATACCTATGAATACCAGGTGTGATATAGTGCAAACGTGTTGTATATGCGTTCCTCTTTTCAATTACACAAATGGAACAAACCAAAACATTCAGTGATGTTTCCTGCACTCCAGTTAATCTTTACTTGACATTTTGTTTTTCTAATTAAGAATATTAAACCACAGGAAATTAAATCTGCTTTCTTAGCATTCATTTTACAGCACATTGACTTGCAAGGGAGGAAAGCAGCAGACATTTTCAACAGCAAGTTGTGCCATCTGTATTAGTCTATTTTTACAGATGATAAATGACTGACATCATGTCTAATTTTATAACCATAACAAAAATTATTATATTCATGTGTAACAACCAAAAAAAGGAAACCAAATATCTAAATCTAGCCGAGGGTTTAATATTCAGGTGAAGCCCTATAACATTTTGTTCATTCTGTAGCTACTTTCAGTATGACCCAGGTAAGGTAGTATTAGGAGAACATGCATTTTCTTAATCCCAGTTTATATCAGTAATAATTACACTATAGGCAGGAGTTTGGGGGCTGGATCAGCTTTATCACAAGCTATCGTTAAACAGTTTTTGCAGTGTGGCAGGCTGCAGTATCCCGCTTATGGGAGCTGTTGTGTAGGTGTTGATCAATGTATTTGAACCTATTTTTTTTTTACCTGTGGGGGGCACTGTTTATGCAGGGATAAGGAGCACGTGTAATACAGTGCCTTCTTGCATTTCCACTCTACAGTTTTTTACAACCACATCCAGACTCCCGTTTACTTTTCTTTTCTTTGCCCGTCCATCATTCATTTGTCACGTCTATCCTTTTCCATTCATTTCCTTTATTTTTTTGACAAGTTTGTTTCAGTCTCCATCGTGTCCCTTCACCCATATCTCTGATGCTGTCTGGCCACCATCACTTTCCTTTGCTGTCTTTATTCCTAATTTTAATCTTTAATCTTATCTCTTACTGCCTCCCAGGGGAATGTGGCTAAGCTGGTGCACACTCCACTGACTGATAAATGCTACCTGACTCTGACCCAGGCAATGAAGATGGGGCTCGGGGGGAATCCTTATGGGCCAGCCGGCACAGGCAAGACTGAGTCCGTCAAAGCCTTAGGAGGGCTGTTTGGACGTCAAGTGCTGGTGTTCAACTGTGACGAGGTGTATAGATGCTTCTGTGAAAAGCAAAAAATATATACAAAGCGAAAGCTACAACTAAAGACGTGGATACAATATATCCATGAATCACATATGTGCAGTAGTAGACACACACATACACTAACCTTTTGATTAGTCCACACACATGCGCAAACAAAGTAGGATTGCAAATTGAGTACAAATGACAACGACTGCTTTTTTTTTGGTCTGTTTTCCAGGGTATCGATGTGAAGTCAATGGGACGGATCTTTGTGGGGTTGGTGAAGTGTGGAGCATGGGGCTGCTTTGACGAGTTTAACCGTTTAGAGGAAGCAGTACTGTCTGCAGTTTCCATGCAGATTCAGGCCATTCAAGACTCTCTCAAACACCATAAGAACACATGCGATCTGCTAGGGAAGGAGGTCAGAAAATAAACAAATGCAGACAAAAACAATAATGCTGAACACCAGGTCATTCTGATTTCTCAAGCCCACCTCAGTAATTTATGACACTTTCTCATGATATACAATTATTTTTTCTATTTTTTTTAACTGTCTTTCAGTCAAATCAGTCCCACAGTAAATTATTTATGTTTTCATATATGGCGTAAAAACTGGATTTGTCATAATTCAAGAAGGAACTGCTTAAACTTTACTAATGCCAGTTTTAAAAAATCAAAAAATCACCGGTAATATTGAGAAGAACATGTTCTTCCTTTCTTCATCCTCTAGGTGGAATTGGACCCTAATTCTGGAGTCTTTATCACATTAAATCCGGCAGGAAAAGGCTATGGAGGCAGACAGAAACTTCCAGACAACCTAAAGCAATTGTTCAGGCCTGTGGCCATGAGCAGGCCAGACAATGAGCTCATTGCTGAAGTCATCCTCTACTCCGAGGGCTTCAAAAATGGAGAAATACTGGGATGCAAACTGGTAGCAATCTTCAACCTGGCAAGGTAGAATTAAGTCATTTTTGGTTTGGATTAGGGTCAAATTGACATGCAATGTGCTTCACCTGTGTAGTTTGATATCTGTGTTGTGTGTGATTTTTGTGTTTCACGTGTTATTATTAGACGGACTTTCCGTTTTAGCATTAATAGTATGCAGTTGCTTGATTTTTGTGGATAAATTACCCTTTCTGCTTCCCACCACTGACTGTTACAGACAATGCTACTGCCAACTGCGAGTGTGTGATGTGTAAAAATGTGCCTTTATTTCTTTCTCCAGAGAGTTGTTGACTCCTCAGCAACACTATGACTGGGGTTTGCGAGCTCTAAAGACAGTGCTGAAGGCCTGCGGCGGTCTCCTGCAGCAACACAGAAGGAATCGCAACAAAGAAAAGAGTAAGACCCCCTCTGGGTGTTTTTCCTTTTTTTTTAATATAGATTATTTCTGTGAGGCATTTTTATTTTTTCTTCTCCAATATTGTGTCAAGAAAGTTTTGAGGGGGTGCCAGTATAGCTCACTGGGTTGAGCAGGCAACTCATATGCCACAAGGTTATTCCAGAGACCAAGGTTTGATTTTGTACCGGGCCAATTGCTACATCCCTTCCCCCTGCTCTCCCCAACCTTTCTTGTCCACCTTCAGCCTGTCACATCATTACAACGGCTAAAAAGGCCAAAAATGTATTTTAAAAGAAAGTTAGGAGGAAATGGGTTCATTTTTGACTCAAAATCAAACTCTTTGCCAAGTACAAAGGGTCAAAACTTTAACAATGCAAAGTACTAGGATTTTTATAAAATACACTGTGTTTTATTCGGGTTTATAATTACACAACATTAATGGCAGACTTTCATTATATTCAAGCAGCACCTGATGACTTGATTAATGATTTATTTCTGTCTGAAGCAGAGGCTGTGCTAATTTGTGAAATCATTTGGTGGGGTGAGAATGAAATCTATACTTAAGAGGGAGCTGCACATAATCTGATAAATTGTCTTAAGCCACTTTAGTCAACACTGATTGAGACTACAAGTCTGAAAGTTATGGGCTGCATATTTGTTTAGCCAATTTACACATTCTTTATTCTAGTCCTACAGATGAGTTACAGTGATGTATTGTACTTAACAAAAATAGGCATAATTAGAAAGAACATCCCTCTGGGTAGAGTTTTGAAAGTCTACTGTTGTATTCAAGACATTTCTCATCTGGAGGCTGAATTTAAACAAACAGACACACTTTTTTAGGTGTTCTTGGCTGTTGCTGTTTCTCCAGCTAACGAACTTTTTGCTATGGGCTCCTCTCACTTCCCCTGTGGGCAGCTGCTGCACAGATGCTTCAAAGCTGCCCTGGCTAATGATGACCTTGAGAGCTAAACAAAAGGCCTTAAGTTACCTCGATGCCTCATACTGGGACCACTGGTCTGTTGTTGGCAGAGGGAAACATTATGATGTGTGGTTTTCACACTCCTGACAAGATTTCCAATGAGAAATTAAAGTCAACATTTCATCCCCTGGTGTGTCACTCAGCTGGATCCAAGGGATTAGCAGTGACTTGGGGGTAATTGTGATTGGGTAAAGTTGGGCCATTTAATTAACATAAAAAGCAGCTATGTGTAAAACTTCTGCTCCTTGATGGTGAACACATATAGTATGGGATATCATCGCCTCTGTCAGTGCGCCCCAGGGTGGCTGTGGCTACAATGTAGCTTGCATATCACCAGTGTGTGAATGTGTGTGTGAATGGGTGGATGACTGGATATGTAAAGCGCTTTGGGGTCCTTAGGGACTAGTAAAGCGCTATATAAATACAGGCCATTTACCAGGCCAGGCCATCATATCCCCTCATGGTATATGTCAAGAACAGAGTGCAGGTCCTCAGATTATTATTATTATTATTATTATTCTTTTTTTATATCAGTTGTTCACCCTAACTCTGGGGTACACCCAGAACCTATAGGAGAAATTATATTTTCCGTATGGGAATACTTTGGGGTACAAGATCCCTCAGGAGTAACTGAGGGATCTCAAAGTGTCGAGTCTCACTGAGTGAGAGGATGTCTGGTTAGCCTGCTGCCACTGTAACATGACTTCATATAAGCAAAAGAGGATGGATGGATGTTAAAAAATATATAGTTCAATCCATTGTGTTTATTGGAGACCGGACTCTTGTCCTGGTGAAGGATCATTCAACACATCATAAATAAATATATCTCAAAGGCAAAGTAAGCGTAACTGTGCTGTCATGTAACATCCAAACCACGCTTTTAATATCATCTGATTGTTTTAATCGACTAAAGTTAAAGGAGCCCAAAAGACTATTGACACTTTTAATAATAATAACACCCTTTGTCAGACTGACATATTTGGCTCATTGGGGTTATTGAAAAAGAATCCACAAGTAAACTTGTCAAAGTTTTAGCCTCTTTAGACTTCTTAACTTCTTCATCCACCACAGAAGTAGATGAACCTGTAACAGAAATCTCGACGCAGTCTCTGATAATAAAAAAAAAAAGTAGCAACTTTTCTAAGTCTAGTTGAAAATCTACTTTTTGGAAGTGCTGAAACTGCTATACTGATAGCAACCTTTGGACCTGAGGGATAGAAAGTTTTCGAGTTGACGTAAAGCATCGGAAGATAAGGTTACAGTTAAAAATTTGACTGGTCTGGAGATGCTTATCCTTTGCTCAACAGAGATACAATAAAAGTGTTTGGCTTATCTGTGCCTCTTTGTGTGGATATCTATTGAATGCAGCCGGATAAACACCACGAGTATACTTAAACAGAAAGCTTTAGTGTCCAGCTCTTTTTCTGTGCACATGCTGCGCTTGCCCTCTAAATATTCTAGTACGGACATGCCATGAATTGACATTTAGCTCAAGCACTTTCCCTAAAAACTTTTCTTCCCTCGGGTTTTTCACTTGTCTGTACTTTTGTCCTTCTGCATTCTCTCGTCCTCAAAACACTTTGCCAGAGCGTTGTTGTTTACCTCTTCAGCATTTCTTCCTCAGTTCCTGCTCCCTCCTCTAACCTCTTGTTAGCGCTCTCTTTCTCTGATACCTGGCTGTCGATGTTGCTCTCGTCCCGCTCGTTCGCAATCGGTGCCCTCTTTTTCTCACCCCAAAGGTCCCCTTCATGCCTCTTGTTTTCAATAACCTCCCCCACTTCTACCTTGGTTTTACTCACCCTTTCCCTGATTCTATCATTCTTTCCTTTAAATCTTTCTCTTCCTCCACCACCCACCTTTTATCTGTCCAACACACAAACACACACACACAGATTCACAGACACATTGTGTGAACCTCTTGTCTGTCGATGAGTCCCTGAGGTTTTTCCTTGTGTTTGTCTCTGTATGTAGTCTGGCCAAGTGCGCTTCTCTGCAGAAAGACAAGAGATCAAAAGTATTGACAGTGTCTTAAATCGTGACAAGTTTTGGTAATTAGCACATTTTTCACTGGGGACATTTGCAAGAGCAAACCAATACTAAACTTTCCTCACCTTGTTTTTATATCATTTTCTATTTTTTTTTTTTTTTCATTCAGCATATTGCCTTTTTCATAGTTTATAGCTGTTTTATAGTGTTAACCATACTCTTATTCAAGTATTTTTTATGCTTATCCCTGTTTTGGATTGAAATTAAATTTATATTAATTTCTTTTCTTTCTCTAACTCATTTTCTCTCTCTGTCCATCTACTTGCAGTTGAAGAGAGTAGTCTGGTAGTGCAGGCCTTAAGACTGAACACAATGTCCAAGCTGACCTTTGCCGATTGCTCTCGGTTTGATGCTCTGGTGAGAGATGTCTTCTCTGGGGTTGATTTCACTGACGTGGAGGACCAGATACTAACACATGCACTGGAACAAGTTTATAAGGAGGCACAGCTTGAACTTATACCCAGCCAGGTGTGTATATGAAGAATTCTAATAAACACTATGTGAACTGACGTTGTTTGTTAGAAAGATGGTATAAGAAAATCAGAGATAGTTAAATGGAGTAATTGTTGTCATTTATAGCTAAAGAAGGCATTGGAGCTAAATGAACAGCTAAGACAACGTATGGGCGTAGTTGTTGTCGGGCCAAGCGGAGCAGGCAAGTCCACACTGTGGAGGATGCTCAGGGCAGCTCTTGGCAAGACAGGAAAAGTGGTGAGTAGAGGGAGAACCTCCCCTCTTGAATTTAATGCTGTAACTGGAAAAAGTGATGTAATACAAGTCCTCTAAAATTACATCATGCACTGTCTGAGTTCCAGTGTTATTTAGCATATAAAAGAATCTAAAAAGTGACTTTTTCAAAATTAAAGAAATTCTGCCTTGAGTTCTTGCCAATTCACTTTTTTTGTTTGGTAGGTGAAGCAGTACACAATGAATCCTAAGGCCATGCCCAGACAACAGTTGTTGGGACATATAGACATGGACACCAGAGAGTGGTCTGATGGCGTCCTCACCCACAGTGCCAGGAACGTGGTCAAAGAATCTCAGGGTAATAAGAGAGGGACACTGCTGGTTTGTGATTAACCAGGCGTTTGACATTATTGCCCACTGAAACTGGAAAAGTGTTTGGCCATCACCAGAATCATCCAATTTCAAAGTACTTTAATTCTGCAATGTTAAGCACTTGTGAACAAGTTTTGTATGTAAAACTTTTGAAATCAGATGATTCTTTCAGACACACCCCGTATCGTGATTAATATCCTGTATGCATGCGTTGTAAACATATGCATGTATAATTGTGTTTTCTAGAGGTGAACTCTTGGATCGTATGTGATGGCGACATTGATCCTGAGTGGATTGAGAGTCTGAATTCTGTCCTTGATGATAATCGACTGTTAACCATGCCCAGTGGCGAACGCATCCAGTTTGGACCTAATGTTAACTTCCTGTTTGAGACTCATGACCTCAGCTGTGCCTCACCAGCTACCATATCCCGCATGGGCATGATCTTTCTCAGGTCAGTCAGCCTATGCAGAAAGAGTTTTAAGCATTTATTTCTACCAAATTCCACCTTTTCAGTACTTGTCTCACTGGCATTTTACTTCCTCATATCTAAAGTGATGAGGACATTGATGTGGGTGCCTTGGTGAAGTCGTGGTTAAAGGGTCAGCCAGAAGAGTGTCACAATAATCTTGAAAACTGGCTGGGCGATTACTTCCAAAGATCTCTAGACTGGGTCCTCAAGCAGGTCAGCGTCCCACTGCTACACAGTGCATGAAAAGCAGTCACATCTTTTCATTGTTCTAAATATTAAACACATCTTTTGTTTGGAACCTGACACAGTGGTGTCATACGCACTGAGCAACTTAGAACTTTGATCAGTTAACTTCATTTATAATTACCAGTATTTATTATGATATATTTAATTGATAACATTATGAAAGTGCAATCAAGTAACTGAAATGACTTGTGACCTTTCAGCTCAATGAACAGATCCATTTATTATTTCCTTCTAATTTACATAATCCTTACAGACGGGATTTTTCTTTTGCTCAACCGGTTTATTTGAAAATCGTAAAAGATCTTTGATCCTTACATCTGTATGCTGTTCTTTCTCTCTCCTCATCAGAATGACTTTGTGGTGGAAACTAGTTTAGTGGGCACAGTGTTCAATTGCCTGTCTCACCTCAATGCTGTGAAGGAGAGGGGCCAGTTCATCGTTGGTCTACTGAGAGGTATGGGAGGAAACCTCAACCTCAAAACACGACAGGAGTTTGCCAAAGAGGTGAGGACCTCATTTTGTTCTCGTTTGGTATCAATAGAGGTTGAATTCAAGAACAGTTTTATGTTTGGATTTAAATTGTATTCACGTCTTAATTATAACTGCTGAAAATTATAAGGATGGATAACTTGCTAATGTTTGTCTTTATGTCTTTTCACTCCTGTAGTTGCTGAGCTGGGCCAGGGAAAGCCCACCAGACCCCAGAAAACCATTGGATACTTACTATAACACTGACAGTGGTCATCTAGCAAGTTACATGTTCCAGCGTCCTGAGGGTCTCACGCTGGAGCAGTTCTCTCATACACACATGCTACCTGTGATTGAGACTCCAGGCATGCAGAGAGGTCTGCAGGGTTTCTCTCCTTGGCTCACCACACAGCACAGGCAGCCCTTCATGGTCGTAGGGCCAGAGGGTTGTGGAAAGGGGTAATTACTTCTGGATCCATATACAAAAACACATTAAAAACCATTTAGCCCTTCACAAAGCCATGATTGCTGAACAACTGTTACATTACCTTCCATTATCCTGACTTAAGATCAAATGGCATTCTGCGGAAGCAATTCACAAAGGGTATTTTTTTATTCTATCCTCATGTTAGCCTTTAGTACAAAAATCACTGGTGAGGTCAGAGTGTGCAGTGTGGTTTGTGAGACAGAGGCACTCAAATAGGAATACTCAGAATGACACAATCACATAATCAACAGTGAAATCAAAGCTGCTTTTATTCAAGACTTGACCTTTCTTGTAAAGGCACTGAAAGCTCAGAATAAAGATCAAATCTTTGGGTGTGTGTGTGTGCGTGCTGTTTGTGCTTGGGATTGTGTACGTGTACACATCAAGTTCTGAACTGCCCCACAAGTAATTGTGTCCCTCCCCTGGGTATAAAAGAGCAAGGGTCCCTCAGTTTGCCTTTTACACTCCACTTTTGTATCTCTCAGTCTTTTCTTTTCTCATCCTCATGCCCTGCCTCACTTTGTCTGAAACATTACGGTGCCAGTAAGGCACGGGATTTGTCAACTTAGTCTTCTGATAAAAGTACAGATTTTCTGATAATGACTGTGCATGCCCATGAACACGTCATATTTACTTTCTTTAATTTGCCTTTGAGTCAAAGGTAAACAATTTTCTTGACGTCCCAAAAATTAATTTTTTTGATTAATGTGGCAGTAACACAGATTTCATCCTCTTATCCTTTCTTGCTGTCCTTAGATCAGCTTAAAAATGGGTGAAGCTGAACTGTTTAAAACATTTAAGCATATGGATGAACTGTTGCCATCCTCTGCGCTCATGTCTCACCTCACGTACTTTGAGTTCTTGTGTGTTTCCTGACCTTATTCTGTTCGTCCTGTTCAGCATGCTCCTGCGCTACGCCTTCTCTCGGCTGCGTTCCACCCAAGTTGCTGTGGTTCACTGCAGCGCCCAGACATCATCACGCCACGTCCTACAGAAACTGAGCCAGACGTGCCTGTTGCTCAGCTCTAACACTGGTCGAGTTTTCAGACCCAAGGACTGTGAGAACTTGGTCCTTTATTTAAAAGACATCAACCTACCCAAACCGGACAAGTGGGGGACCAGCAACCTCACTGCCTTCCTCCAGCAGGTAAAAAGACAGATAAATTAAAAAGTCAGTCAATGGCTGGATGTGTTGGAAACAGTTTTGATACAAGTGCCCACTCTCAGAAACTTAGACTGTTTCATGTCCACCACCAAGCATCACAATATATATTAACCTTTCTTTCAGGTGTTGACCTATAAGGGGTTCTATGATGAAAATCTGGAGTGGGTCAGTCTTGAGAACATACAAGTGGTGGCTTCCATGTCCACAGGGGGTGCTGTTGGGACACATTCACTCACAACCCGCTTCTCTTCTATAGTACGCATCTGCACAATAGAGTAAGTACAAAACAAGCAACATATAAGTAAATACCAGTAAAACAGCACTTTGTCATTGTTCCCATCTCTCTCCGTTTCTCTGCTTGGGCTCCTTCAAACTTGACAGTGACAGTGTTATCCTACTGTTTACTTTACCTGACTTTAGTTATCCAGACAGGGAGCAGCTGCAGACTATCTACTCAGCTTACCTGCAGCCAGTTCTCCAGCACAGCCTGGGCAGCCAGGCAGCCTGGGCCAGCACAGGGAAAACACACCAGCTGGCTGGGTCTCTTGTGCAGCTCTATGAACAGGTATTGCATTTCACAGGGTGTTCATTCAAGTTTATAACCAGGTTTGTAAAAACACAGTTTTACTGAGATGCAAAGAGCATAAAAAAGACACAAAGAAATCTGAGTAATTCCAGATTAAAACAGTCTCTATGTGATGCAAAATCACACTGTCCAAGTCCTTGTATTTTCACAGATATCCATTTTTAACTAATGGGTATTAGCCAAGTTCTCTCCAGTCTTTTCAAAAGCACATAAGGTTTTCACATAATTCGTGCCGGTTTTATTACAGGTACAGGCATTACATTGTAGAGACTTGTGCATAAGATAACTTGACACTCAGAAATGTGTCCAGATGAATGCTGAGATTTTGCTTTCATGATGTTAGAAAATATCAGTTAAAGAAAGCTGTTGTGTTGTTATTCGCCTTCATAGGAGCTTCTTACTGTTTTATTTCAGCCACAAATGTCAGATATTCTCAGCAATTGTGACATTTTCAAGTTATTATGCATTTGTGTACGCACTTGGGGGGAATGTTTGTTCTGTTGCTATTTTGATATTGCTCTTCACGCCATTGGATTATTAGGATTATAAATGCAGCGTAGTGATAAATGTGGAGATTCAGGTGCTTATTTTTAATCGTGTCATCTTTTTGCATATCTAGTTTGCGGTAGATAGAAATGTGTAATGAAAAGCGGTTTTATCTGTATCCTATAGATATTTACTCACAGCCACTTTATTAAGTCAAAGTCAAAGTTTGTTTATATAGCACAATTAAAAGACTAGTGTACATCAAAGTGCTTCACAATAAAACGGCAATGCGGGCAGAACAAAGAACCTTATTAGGAACACAGTTTTATCAAGTGATTGTGATGTTCAAGAAACCAGTTTGAGATGATTTCAGCTTTGTGGCATGGTGCTTTATCCTGCTGGAAGCAGCCATCAGAAGATGCATACATTGTGGTAATAAAGCATGTGTACAAGGTCAACAAAGAAAATATCCCCCACATCGTTACACCACTACCATTAATAGAAAAAAAACGATGGATCTGTTCTATGTTCAAAATCAATTAAGTCATTTTTCTCCCTGTTCTGATGCTCGGTTTGAAGTTCAGTATATGCCTAAATGCATCAATTTGCTGCCATGTGGTTTTTTGTGTTAACAATCTGTTAATTAAGTTGATTAATAAACTGTCTGCTGAGTGTATAATAATATAATATAATAACCCCTTTCTGTATTTTCTTCTTTCCTGTTAGGTAAAAGCCAAGTTCACAGTGGATGACCACAGCCATTATGTGTTTACACCTTGTATTCTCACAGAATGGGTTCTCAGCCTGCTGCGGTATGACCTCACTGCAGGTAACTAAAATCAAACCAAAAATAGATCGATATAAATATGTATGTGTTTTAGCAAACAGAGTAAGATTTATGAGGTTAAGATTTTTCAAATAACACGGCCCAGCCTTCTCTAAGTTAAAAACTTAGGGGACTATTTTGAGGCACTAGTCACTACACATACAAAAGCAGAAGGTTGAATTTAATGACCCACTACTAATTTCTTAGTTTATTCATATTGCTGAGTAACATTAATAATTCCATTTTAATGCCAGAATAATACAAAAAAAATACAGCCCCACAGAGTTAGTTACTCGTCTGTGTTCTTTCAGCTCAGAGCCACCGTTTCTGTCTCTCACCTTTTTCCTTCTTTCTGTCGGCCTCTCTCTGATTCCTCTCTTCTCTTTCCCCAGTCCCTTTCTGCCACTCGTCTGTCTCTCACTCTTTCATCATCCTCTCCCTTTGCTGTCCTTTCATCTCTCCTTCTGTCACTCTTTCTCTCCTTCTGCAATGTGTTCCTGCTGTGATAGTGAGTCCAATTATTTATTTTAATTAAACACGTCAGCAGAGAAACTTCCCTTTTCCTGTCCTCATCAGTTTTTACTTTCTTTTTTTCTTTCTGAATTCTCTGCCCGGTTTGCTGCTTACCTTCTTTTTGGTATGTAAAAAAAATCCTTATTCTTTATATTTCTTCTGTGGCTGCGGTGAATTTGAGCTTGACTAAAGTCCTTTAGGCAGTGTTATCTGTGCTTCCTAGTTTTATTTGATGTGTTTTAGAGGTGATGGGTTGATACTGAGACTGGATACTGTCACAGATGCTGACATATCACTTTTACAATTTCACTAAAACATCAGTGTAAAAATGCCAAAAAAATAACATATCTTTGAGGCCATTTAAGAACATCTGTTGCCGTTATGTAGAGTATCCACAAGAGAGCACTGACAAGTTTTAGATGGATGCAGCTCGTGGAGCCCATTCTGTATATACTCAGAAATTTACAAATTATAAATTAGAATTGCTTTTTGTTTGTTTTTGTGGTCATTGCTTTTTTTATTAAACAACCAATATTGTTAATTATTCATATTAACAAATATCAATATCAGTGTTTGCCTTAAAACTCCAAAATAAGCGAGGATTTATTTGCCTTACTGCTGGTGGCGGAATCATTATAAAGTGGATTTTGGAAATCAAAAGTCATGGGAATAAAAAAAAATGCAGGAAAAATTTACATTAATTTTTTTTTCCTGTAATGGTTTTTAGAATTTAAATTGCTAGGAAAACCCCAGAGACAGAACTGTGTCTGTGTCATGTTTCAGTATTTTCAGGCACCGTCGAAACCAGTGTTCCATAGTATCACAAATCTGGCTTGTCCCTCCAGTTTTCAGCAAGTAGCACTCTGCTGTTTCGTGGGGAAATTTATTACATATGTGTGATCCAGGGAGGTGATTTTGTCATACTGAGCATTGTCAAAAACAGCCCTTTGACTCATATTAAATCCTGAGTAATAGTGTGATTATTATGAAACTAAATACCAGGTTTAGGCAGACTAAAATTTGGATTGTATATTTAACGTATACATTTAGCTAACACCTGGTATGAGATCACCTAAATATTTAAATTATCGGGGAGGGGGGGGGGGTCTAACAAAATGAATAAATCCTAATTTTGTGTAAATGTGTAAAGGTCTTTTTTTTTAACTATATTCTGTTAAGTCTTAATTCATATATATGTGAGTGTGTGTGTGTGTGTGTCTCACTTGTTCCCTTTAGCTCAATCTAATGTGACAGACAGCGTGTTGGAGGTGGTAGCATACGAGGCCAGGAGGCTCTTCAGAGACCGACTAGTTTCCTCCAAAGACCTTCACACCTTTGATAACATCCTCTCCTCCATCATACGAGGGGACTGGAGCTCTGATGCTCTAGATAACATGACTGGTATGGGATGGCTGTGCTCTTACTTCTAAGTCATAAGCCAAATATTAGGTCTGACCATGAAAGACTATTACTGAACGAGGCTTTTAAGCAGTTAATGTCAATATTACTGGCTGGGCATGTCTGAATGAAAGCAGTATATGATTAGAGCGCTTTTTGACTGCTCTGCATATATATTTACACGTGGCAATATCTCTGTTAATGGTCTGTTTTGAATACTAAACTAGTAATGATTTTAATTATTGATTTTTTTTCCATTTGCTTTGCTTGCTTTCAGTGTGTCAACAGAGCCAACTCTGTGCCTAGTAGTATGTCTTATTCACTGATTGATAAAGTTCTGAGATTTCTTCTGGATAATACCAGAAGGTCATCTAGTGTTGTCCATGTTGTACACAAGCCCTACTTTGGATGCTGTGACATCAAAAAGATTAGAGTAAAAGATAAACCCCGACACTTCTGTTCCCTGAAGGAGAGGAACAAGGTACAGTACAACACATACTGTAAGTATGGGACATCACCCCCTTGCGTGTCCTGGCTGAAGAAACCTTTGTTCACACCTTTAAAGCAGATGACGTGTGATGACATGCGCAAGGCCCTAGTAGATGAGGCCCTAGCGCTCTGAATTGTCGCTATCACACTAGGTGGCAAACCCTTAGCAATCAAGTTTAACCTCTCAGCAGGTAAGCATGAAGGCGCCACAGATCTGGGCGCGGATGAAACACTTCTCCTCCCGCCTGAGAGAGGAGATCCCTGCGGAGAGGAAGCTGCCAAGGACTCGCTGCTAGCAGGCTGATTATCTCTGCATACCACGACCTTGTGGGCCACCAAGGGGCCACTAGAAGCAGAGAGAGAGACTGCCGACGCACTCTCTCTAGAACTGGAGATATCATTTCCACTGGGGGAAATGCATACAGGAGCACATCTGGCCATTGGTGCGCTAGTGCGTCCATGCCCAAGGGTGCATCCCAAGGGTGCATCGTGGTCGATTATGGAGAAGAACAGGGGGCAGTGAGTATTTACCCTGGAGGTAAAAAGATCTATTTGCGCCATGCCAAATAGATCCCAAATCTGAGCCACTATTAAAGGGTGTAACCTCCATTCTATCACCAGAGAGAATGGAGGACCCCCCCCATGGAGAGAAGGTCTGGCCCCAGGTTCAGGTGGCCCTTAGAGACACAGCTCTAAGTGGTTGATGTGCAGCTCGTGCTGGGCTGCGGACCAGATCCCTCTCACTGATGCACCCTCACACAGCTCTCCACACCCTCTTAGGGAAGCATCTGAGGACACCATTTTGCAAAACAACACCATCCCAATCCAAGAGCCCTGATGCAGCAGCCCGGGCTCCCTCCAAGGACGGAGAGCTAGCATGCAAGATGCGGTTACCGTCAGCCTGCTCCGGAGGTGACGCAATGCAAACAGGCGGTGAGAGAGAGTCCAGTGTTGAAACGCTCTCATCTTTAACTGTCCAAGTGGCACTATGGCGATCATAGATGACATCATGCCCAACAAATGTAATATCGTCTGGAAACGCAGTCTGCGTCCCAGCTGAAACTGAGCGAGGCAGCGATTAAACCAGCCACTCTGTTCTCAGACAAACGTGCTGGAAATTGAGCATATTTCCAAACCGAGAAAAGAAATCAGCTGACTCGGGGTTAGCGAGCTCTTTTGAAAGTTCACAGAGAACCCCAGTGTCTGAATGTGTGACAGAACCAGCGACAGCTGTGTCTCCGCCTGCTCTCTGGAGCAAGCTATGAGAGCCCAGTCGCCTAGGTAGGCTAAGATGCGGATGCCTCTCTCTCTGAGGGGCGGTAGCGTTGCCTCGGCACATTTCGTAAAGGTGCGAAGAGCGAGCGACAGCCCGAACGGCAGCACTAGGTATTCGTAGGCTATGCCCTCGAATGCAAACCTCAGAAACTGCCTATGTTTCGGGTGTATAACCACATGAAAATAAGCATCTGTTAGATCGATTGTTGCAAACCAATCTCCCAGGCCGACTGCATTCAAGAATTGTCTGAATGTTAGCATCTTGAACCTGTACGTCCGTAGATATGTGTTCAAGACTCGCAGGTCAAGGATGGGACGAAGCCCTCCACCTTTTTTTGGAACAACAAAATAACGGCTGTACCAGATTTTGTCTGTCTCCGAAGTGGGGACCACTCGTATTGCTCTTTTCTGCAATAGCGCCTTTATTTCGTCTCTGAGTATCATGGCCGCCTCTGTGTCGACAGTCGTGTTTACGAGTCTCCGGAAACGAGACAGTTTGACCCGGAACCGGTAACCCATGGCAAAGGTTCGCAGCACCCACAGAGAGGGGGCGCAAGCGCGCCACTGAGGGAAGTGAGCAGCCAGCCGGCTGACCTGCAGCACTGACGGCGGGGCGTTGTTGCCCCCCAGTGTGTCTGCAGGGGACTGCACCACCTGCCTGACCTGGCTCATTCTGCCTGCAGGCTGAGCATTTGTGATTGTTTGAGAATAAACATCACTCTTTATTGACTGTAACATGGAAACATGTACATTCACACATTTTGTTGGATGCACCTTTTCTGGGGCACAACAATGAAAAACAGCAGGAACACTTGATGTGGTCACCTGAACATTTAACACACCTGAACGGGGAGTTACAACCTGAGGCATTTTGTGTGCAGGGGGTTTGTGCTTGGGAGAGTCAGAGTGTTAGGACATCGACTGGATAATCCTCGTCTTCAGACTCAGAAAGGAGAGGGTCATGCCGTGCGACAGCCAAGCGTCCCAGCACTTTTTCCACAAACATCACCCATCTTTCCAGGGTCAAGCGCCCGAGCTGGCAACAAAACGCACAGGCTTTGGGCTCCGTCAACGCTCTCCTAGTGTGGACGACCCCCAGGCAGACAGGGTAGGCATCGTGCTGTTTGCTGTCGTGCAAAGAGAAACCGCATCCCTCAGGAGGGACCATGCACATGTCATCACACGTCATCTGCCCTGAAGGTGTGAATAAAGGTTTCTTCAGCCAGGACACGCGAGGGCGTGATATCCATATCCATATCCATACTTATGTGTTGTACCGAGTGAATCGACTGAAAGGGAACCAGCTCACTGTGTTAGCAATAATACTATGTATTGTGTTTAATAATGTGCTTTACAGCAGTCTGGAAATCTGTGAAAAGATGTAGCTTTTGCTAGCTTTTGTCATAAAAATAGCACTGAAAACCCTTATAGAGAAAACTGGCTCGGTTACAAAGAGGCAGACAAATCTAATCTAAATCTTTAATCTAATCAGCTTGTAGATTGCCTTGTATCCCCAGTGAGGAATGCCTCTCCCAGACTGTGGCCACCTGGAAAACAGGGATTGCAAAAACAAAAATTTCTTGTGCACAAGTTGCTTATAAAGGCACAAACTACATTTGAGAATACAATTTGATGTCTGTTTGTTTGTCAACAACATTGTGCAACAATTACCCACCCTCATTTTAGGAAATCTGGTGAAGATGTGAATCATGGGCAAAGTAAAAACCCATCAAAGCTGATTGCAGATCTGGATCACTTTCTTTGAACTGACAAAATGGGCCATTTAGCCCTGATGGTGGATGCACTCTCTGCACTTCTGTGTTTCATACACAGTTGATTGCTAGTACAACACTGTCTATGCTGCACTTTTATTTTTTCTTAGACAACCTCCATGTAATTTAACATGTCCACTAATAGTCTGTTATTTTGTCTGTTTGCAGATGGTTTCTATGTGACATGGGGAGAGTCTGAGGGGGCTGTGATCACTCCTGGCCAGTCTCTGCCTCCTCATGGCAAACAACTGGGACGCCTGGACTCTACTGATTTAAAACAAGTTATACAGAAGGTACGCAGTAAGAGACTGTTGTTAGACTTGTTGGATTAACTGTGGACAGAAAGATGTGTCTACACAGTGATACAGCAACTATAGGGATTTTCTCTTTATTCTTCTTAGCTAAAACACTGATATGGTCCTTATGTGCAAATGCGCTAATACAATAAATCATCAGTATATCAATAGCATTTTAGACAGGATAATCTGCACTAGTGTCATATTTTGCTAAAAAAGCTTAAACTTTTTACCTAATTTAAAGTAAAAAAATGGTACTGCCACTTTGCTTTAGTAAATTTATAAACTTCTGTTTTTGTGCTTCTGTTTTCATCATCATGTCTCACTCTGTGTTTGCATTTCTTTGTCTTTGTTTTCTTATTTTCACTTCATTGTGTTTGCTGCTGTGTACCTCCTTCACCTGTGTGTCTGTTCCTCGTTTTCCTCTAGGGAGTCGTGCTGTACAGTCGAGATAACAGGGAGCTGGATCTTCTCCTGTTCTGGGAAGTGTGCGACTTTGTGTCCAGGGTAGATCGGGTCCTAAGCAGACCTGGTGGGTCTCTGCTTTTGGCAGGGCGCAGCGGAGTGGGTCGGCACACAGCCACGTGCCTGGTGTCACACATGCACGGATACACGTTGTTTACTCCAAAAATCTCCCGTGGTTACACCCTGAAGCATTTCAACAGTGATCTCAAGACGGTAAGTGGATTTCCTTTATTAGATTTTTATCTCTTTATCTGGTTCACATTATACTTTAATAAATTGCATTTGCAAAATGCTCTTAGAGATAATCACACGTTACACACTAATCCTGCAGGCTATACGGTTCCTATTCTGAAGAACTCCCTGTTGAGCATTTGTGTGTTTTTTTCAGATTGAGTGACACCTATAATTACCATTAAAAGTGAATAGTTACTGATAAAAGAATTTTCTGTCGTTTTAGTTGATTTTTATGCATTAAATCAGTACCCATTATCATATGTTGACAGATGTCTCACTTTGCGGAGGTTTAAGCATAGACTATGTAATCTCAGCTGATGGCACTATATAATATATTTGTGTGGATACTGTGTGATTAGGTGATGCAGCTGGCAGGTCTGGAGGGCCAACAGGTGGTTTTACTATTAGAGGACTATCAGTTTGTCCACCCAGCTTTCTTAGAGATGGTGAACAGCCTGCTGTCATCAGGTATGTGTTGTGTTTATTTATGCTTTTGCCTTATTTTTTTATTTATAGAAACGTGAGTTATTGGGACTCAAGAAATTGTAGCTTCATTTAAGAGTTAATGTTTAAACTGCGATTGTCACACTGCAACTCTTAAACAGTATTTGCAATATATAGCTGGACTATGGTTTTAGATGGGTTTATGTTCTGATAGAAGAAATTATTTTGACCTTTGGGTTTAGTCAGACCAGAATTTTCTTCCTGCTCACAGACTTGATGCTAGGCTAACCATCCAACCATCCCCCACTCCAGCTTCACTCTGAGCAGACAGATCTGAGTGGTTATTGGGTGATATTGTTCATCTTGCGTACAAAGTCTTGTCAAATGACTTTCAGCTCTAATTCAAGGGGTTTACCAAAAGTATTTCATTTACTGTTCAGGAATCATTTTCAGAGTCTCAAAAGTAACTGGACAAACTACCAAAACTTTAAATATGAGCATTGTTTTTAATGTCAGTTTCATCTGAAAAAGTGTGCTTTGTTGGGTTGAGATCAGGTAATCATTGAACAAGAAGAAGAAAGAAATGTGTGTCTCCTAAAATTATAAACTATATATGAGATGTGCATTTGAATATGGATCATACACTCAAGAATTTTCTCTGTTGTAGTTAAGTTGTAGTTCTAATGTATCCTGGGGACATTTTTCAGGTGAAGTTCCAGGTCTATATACCCCTGAGGAACTGGAGCCACTCCTCTCGTCACTAAAAGATGGTGCTTCCCAGGATGGATTCACCGGACCTCTCTACAACTATTTCTCTCACAGTCAGTATTGTGGTTTTATTGACAGCATGGTCCCTCTGTCTTTCTGTTGTTCATTGTTCCTTCATTAGGGCCTCTTCTCACTGTAAACCTCTATTATATGTGACATTTTGTTACAGAGATTGTTTTTTCTGTTTTTCTCCTTGATTATATCCGACTGTGTTCTTCTGCTTCATTGCTGCGCACTGTTGTTGGTACTGTATAAATGCTGCAATGTCACAGAGGTTGCTGCTTGTGAATCAAATCAATAACCATTATTGGCAAAGTAAAACCACTAAAGAGCTTACTCCTCACCTTTTCTCTCCAACTCTGCCAGATACAAGTTAATAAAGATGCTATTATGAATATGAATATTCTTTATTGTCATTGAAAGATGTCTCCGGTCAGTGCAACATCACGAAAGATAAATACTTAAAAACTATAATATATATTGGTATTATTAGTGATAATACCAATGCCTGTCATTGTCCCACACCGTGTCCACCTTTCATCAAAGTTTCCCGATGAATTCCCTTCACCACTGTCTCACATCCCACTCAGGAATCCAGCAGAACCTCCACATTGTTCTGATCATGGACTCCTCCAACTCTAACTTCACCATCAACTGTGAGAGCAACCCAGCTTTTTACCGCAAGTGCTCTGTCCAGTGGATGGAAGGATGGTCTGAAAGCAGCATGAAAAAGGTTAATATCAGAACAGCAAGATCAAAATGGGCATTAAATCATCAGCTGTTAATAAAGCTCACGCTAAGTGTTGCTTATGAGATTAGCAATGCACATTCCTTCCAACCTTTAAAGACAGACCTGTGTAATTCTGCTCTACTAATGTCTGTTGACCTAATACAGCAGCCCTAATAATGAATTGGTTTTCTCTCATTGTTGGAATTTTAAAATTGAAAACTTTTTTTTTTTTTTACTTTACAGGTTATTTTTAAAAATCAAGGTGTTGCGGTCATATTTGTGCACACATCAGTTCTTTTATAGTCACATTTGCAAATCTGGTAAACCTAAACGTGTTGCTTGTCAGATACCTGAGCTGTTGTTGGCAAAAACTGAGCAGGGAGGGGAGGAGACCGAAAGAGAAAAGGGCAGCAAGAGGAAAAGCTCAGGTAAGCACATGAACATTAAGTCACAGTTCATGAATGATTGATGATCTCTGGACTTAAAATGTTGTCAGATAGCTGATAAATGCCAATGCAGAATTGTATACACGCGAAGCTATCACCTTCACAATGTGAGTGACTTTGAAATAGGAGTGATGACAAAGTGCATTTGAGCCATTTTATAGTTGTTCATGCTGTTGGCATGATTAATCACATTGAAAAACGTAAAAAATAGAACTGGTCAATGTTGTTTAAACAAATAAATAGAAAATAAATACGGGACTGATTATCTATTTATCTACAGTGTAATAGTACTCACAGACTGCGCAACACTTTGTTGAAGCACCTTTGGCAGCAATCAAGTCTTTTTGAGTATGATGCTATAAGCTGGCGCATCTATTTTTGGGCAGTTTTTCCCATTCTTTGTTGTAAAACCTCTCAAGCTCCATCAGGTGGATAGGGAGGGTGTGTCGATGCACAGCCATTTTCAGATCTCTCCAGAGATCTCTTCAGATCTCTCCAGAGATCCCAGTCGGGTTTCGGTGTCTGATTCCCTTCAGACATGAGACTCTGCATTCAGGCCAAAGAGTTCAATCTTTGTTTCGTCAGACCAGAGAGTTTTGTTTCTATGGTCTGAGAGTCTTTCAGGCAAACTCCAGGTGGGCTATCCTCTTACTGAGGAGGGGCTTCCATCTGAACAGTCTACCATAAAGGCTTTTATTGTTATTGTTATTATTAGTATTATTATTATTGTTGTTATTATTATTATTATTATTATTTGTTTGTTTGTTTATTTTATTTTACTCATATTTCCATTTAGTCACTACCATGTGATAAATTAAGATGAATTATCTTATTTTATTAATAGTAGTAGTATCATAAGCTTATAATACTTAGACATATTTAATGGCTCTATATTTTTAGTGTAATCAGAATGACTTTATATCAACTTTTTCTCTTTGTGCATCTTGTTTTTCACCTGTGACTCTCAGGAGGGTCTGGGCAGGGGGATCTGTGCCGATTGTTCTTGATGGTCCATGAGTCATGCCGCGAACACGGTGCAACACCGAGCAAGTACATGGCCTTTCTGCATGTTTACACCGCATTATACAGTCGGAAGCAAAAGCAGCTTACTACAAGACAGCAGCATCTGCAGGTAAAATTGCAAATCTACCCTGTGATACAGAATTATAAGTAGTATGACTTTTACTACTTCCGTAAGAAGCAACTTATTTTTGGAACAACTGATGAGAATTGTTTATCCTAGACTTGAAAATCGATAGATCTACACATAAAATAGCTCTTGATTTGACTTTTAGTGACGATAAGAGTTTTAAAAGAGCCTTGCGGTGAAAACGACACACAGCAAATAAAAGACATGGATTAGAGAAGTTATTTGGTTTTTGGAACTGTATCCAGCCCTGATAGATGAGCTTGGGCCCAGCATTCATCCTGTGTAGTATTTTATTTAAAGTTTCACTGCAGTTTTACACACTAATATGAGAAAGTACAATTACAAAGCAACCGTAAATGTTGTTGGTAAACATTGCACACACAAATTCCATTGAATCTTTAAGAGGAAACAAGTTTGACATTACTTGTAAAGTAATACATGTTATGTCTACAGGCAGGCGTTTCTAAGCTGAATGAAGCTAAAACATTGGTTGATGAACTAAAGAGGCGGGCTGCAGAGCAGAGCGAACTGCTGAGGACTAAACAACAGGAGGCAGATTCTGCCCTGCAGGAAATCACAACCTCCATGCAGGTGTGTATGTCTGTGCTGCTGGTGCATTGTCCGCTAGTGACTGTGTATTGGGATGGGTGGATGGGGGGATACGGGTATACATCAGGACAGCAGGACAGCAGGGTTTCATGTCTTTTCTAACTTATATCTATTCTATGTCTATCTATCCAACTTCTCTCCTCTCTTCTCTTCTCTGGCTTTCTTTTTCATCTGCATTGCATTATACAAAAAACTTTCTGCCTTTCCCATGGCAATATCCTCCCTGCTGTGAAGACACTATTTATTTAGTTTGTGTACGTATGTGTATTTGTTTGTTTTGTGACTTTCCTTTCATTCTCATCTCCTGATACCCCCATTTCCATTTCCTCCTGCTGGGTCTGTCTCGAGGATGGATGGTTGGATAGATGTGTGGAGGGGGAAAAGGAGATGAACCTTGTTCATTAGTTATGATATCCTTCTATCTTTCACTCTGTGGGGATTGGGTTTGTTGAGTTAGAGGGAGGGAGGAAGAAAGGAGATGAGAAACAAAAATAAGAAAGAAAAAGAAATAACTGTCAGAGGAGTCAGTTTTGCAGAGTGATAATTAAGAACTAGACTCATCCCTTTGGTCTGTAGTAGCTATGTCGCCTGTGGGGATGGAGACAGCAGGGAGAGAAGCGAGGAACACTGGAACAACGATGGGAAGAGTGTAAACAAAATAGATGGAAGACTGACTGAGGCTTGGCAAAGATGGAAATATTAAGAGAGCCGTTAAGGAAGAATGAAAATAAGGTTTGGAGCAGAAAAGGGGAATATATGTGGCATATAGCAAGACCTGGAGCCTTGACTATGGAAGAATTATAGGGATGGAAAAAAAGCCAATGTTGGGATTAACTTTAGATGAAAATGTGATGTGATAAAACTTTCAGGTTTGAAGAGGTCAGAGAGAGGACCTGTTGGAAAATGATGCGGCCAAACATTTGTCCTCACTGCTTTTTCATCATCAGTGTCACAATATTCCTAAAAAAATCCTATAAATGTAAAATACAATACAGATGATTATATAGAAATCATATATTCAGCTGCTTACTTTCAATCCTGATTAAGCCTTTTTCCCCTAACTTCAGTACATGCTAAAAGCCTGTTTTTTAATCTAGTGTACTGAACATTTTCCTTATTTTTTGGATTTTCCAGAATGCCAGTGACCAGAAGGCAGAGATGGAAAAATTGAAAGGGAAAATGGCTCAAGAAGTGTCCAAAATTGAAGAGAGAAAAGCCAAAATCGACGACGAGCTGAAAGAAGTACAGGTAAGTGGTTTGTTGCCTGTTTTTGTGAGCATGCCCATTTCTGTAAGTTACGAGAAAACATCCCCCCTTTTCAAGGCTTGCAATCCCCATTGTGCTTATCCTTCACGTACTTGTGCATCTCTCGCTGCCTTTTCCCCTGCTGCCCTCTAGCCTTTGGTAGATGAAGCAAAGCGTGCAGTTGGAAACATCAAGCCTGAAGCGCTGTCTGAGATCCGCTCCCTCCGCATGCCTCCCGATGTCATCAGAGACATCCTGGAGGGGGTACTGAGGCTGATGGGCATCTTTGACACCTCCTGGGTCAGCATGAAGAGGTGAGAGAAAAGAGATAGGAAGAACGTGTAAAGGGATGGATAGGAAGATGAAGAGTTACCCTGTTGGGAGTAATTAAATTGATGAGGATCTTCGACACCTCTCGGGTTAGCAAAAAGAGGAATTAGGAGGTGATGAGGTGTTAGAGAATGGGTGGGAAACGAGGAAGAAAAGGGAAGGATAAACAAAGCCTTTCTGCACTGCTAATGAGCGAGTGTAGGTTGTGTGCGTATATTTGGGCGGGGTGGTGCTGGGGGTGGGGGGGGCAACTGTTCATGCTTAATTAAGGAAAAAAAGGCTCATATTTTAGGCTTGAGTTAACATTAAACTATCTGCTTTATGGGTTAATTTGATCTCTTTCTGATGATTTCATCTGTGTTTGGCTTTAATGTTGAACTCACACATGAAAACTCCTCTCTTCTCCAGCTTTCTAGCTAAACGTGGTGTGAGGGAGGACATAGCTACATTTGAAGCCAGGAATATCACTCCTGAGATTCGCCAGAGTGTGGAAGAGCTACTCAACAGGAACAGGGCTTCTTTCGACCCTAAGGTCTGCCTACCATAGTAGCAGAATCAGAATTAGATGTACTGTTGGAGGTTGTTATTACAGCTTGATTGTTCTTTTGTTGTTGTTGTTGGTTTGTTAGTGTGTTTGTCTTCTAAAGAAGTTATTATGGCTGTTTCACTGATTTGTAATGCTACTGTTGTTTCATTCAGAATGCAAAGCGTGCAAGTGCAGCAGCTGCTCCTCTGGCTGCCTGGGTCAAAGCCAATGTCCAATACTCCCGCGTCCTAGAGAGGATAGAACCACTGGAAAGAGAACAGGCTGGACTTTTGGAGTAGGAAAACACACAAACACAACTCTATAAAAGACCGAAAATGCTTTCAACCTGTAAAACGCTGTATGTTTAAACAAAACAAAAAACAAGAAAGTTGAAGTTCTTGATTAAAAAAATTAAAAAGTTGCTAAGTTTTGTGAAGTAATTTTGATCTAGATTGTATTATTTTAAACAAACTTGTGATCACTGACTTCATCTAATTCTACTCAACTCTAACTCACGCTCAGTTTCTCGATGCTACACATGCAATAAATGATACATAAAGTCAATAAATCAATGCGTGTGTTGTATGTGTCCAGAAACCTGAGGAAGACTGAGAGTAGGAAGAATAAACTAGAAGACCAGCTCAGCACTGTTGGAGCCAAAGTCAATGAGTTGAAAGAGAAGTATGCATCCTTCCTTCACCAATTAATCCTTCTATACTGTGTAGTTTGGGTTTTGCTTGTGGTTTTTGCGTGCCGTTGTCTTAAATTGAGATTAGGGTTGTAGTTTCTTTTAATCTTGAACTGTTGATTTGTTGATGCGATGATGAGCCACCTAAAAATGAACAACAACAGCAACAAACATGGGCAGACATTTACCAGCATCAGTGTTTACGACATCAGAGCACAACAAAGGGTCAAACTTCACACTTTACATTAGTGTCACTGAGCTCCCTGCGCTCTGTCCTCTTTAGTCTTCAGTTTTCCTCCTCCTCATCCATGTTCAATCATACAATACAATCATCTTATAACTGAAAGATGTCCTACTTTCACTACACTCATTTTCTATATGACTCTACCTGCTGTAAATGTCATAGAGGAAGCCTCACCTGTTATATTTACAATGCATCTTATCGTCTTGGGTAAATATTACAATACATCTGCTTTCGGTTGGCTTTTCTTTCTCCTTACTTTCTCTGCAGGTTTCAGTGTCACACTGCAGAGGCAGCTAAGTTGGAGGCCGATGTGTCAAAAGCTCAGGACACGATCACTGCTGCCCAGCAGCTAATATCACAACTGGACGGAGAACACACACGCTGGAATGCACAGGTAGTTTGATGTATGGCTGTGATGATATATGTATTGGTGGGGGAGGTTATACACATTTACTCAAAAAGAGGCTCATTTGCCATGTAAGAGCAACAGGAGCCGTGAGTGTCTAAGAGCTCGTGGGTGTGTGTGTGTGTATGACAAGGGGGATGGATCCCACTGTCTTGGGTCCCTTCTGGCTGTTTTTACTCCTCTCCACAGCATCTGTCTGCACCTTAATTAAAACACTCAATCTCTTCCTGACACGCTCGCTCGTACACACACCCTCAGTCCCACCGCCTCCCTCAAGGACTACACCAGAGAGCCAGTTTGCTCTCCACTCACGTATTACCATATACTCTCACGTGTACACACATACACTCACTTCAACGCTGTACAGTAGCTGTAGGTCACTATACATCAATACTTCTTAGCTGTTTTAGTGTTTCTCAGGAAGGGAAAACCAATGAGTCAGGTGTACACAGCTACAGTGTAAGTGAAACAGATGCAAGTTTTTAAGTAGGATGTATTAATGCAGTAGACTAGAGATCTCAAGGTCATGAAAACTTGCAACCTCAGATGTGGATATAAGTGGGGAAAAGGGTTAGCAATTAAGCCTGATGTTTAAGTATTTTACAGAGATCTGCGTGTGCGCCCGTGTTCCCCTGACATGCTATTAAAATACCTCAAAGGAATCCTGATGAACCTGGAAGTCTTTACAGCTGTGTCAGTAAAATCGGTGCAGAACAGCAAGTGTGTTCCAGGTCCTGCACTTGTGGGTTAGCATTTTTTCGTCTAGTTAAACATTTTATGTGGTCATTTGGTATTTATAACTGTGTTTAGTATTAAAGAGTCATTAGGAAGAAAACCAAACAAAAACCAAACATGTTTTGCACTGGGCCATATTAGCAACATATGAGCAATGTACCAACTTCAGTTCTCTCCTTGCTCCACCTTCTTTTCTCACATCCACGCCTTTTCTCCCGATACTGCCCGTCACTCTAACGTGATTAGTTTTTATACTTTGTTCACCTACCTGTATTTTGTCCTAGATGTCCGAGATAAAGAATGAGTTGGATACGCTCCCTGTTAGAGCCTTGCTTGCGGCAGCCTTCATCACCTACCTGTCTGCAGCTTCGGAAGACCGTAGACGACAGTGTCTGGACTCGTGGATGGCTCACTCTGGACTACAGAGTAAATATATCACTAGTTCTTTTACCACACTAGCAACAGCATATGGCAAGTCCTGTCCCAAGCAGCCTACTCCGACACCGCTGCCCACACACAACATAACGGACTCTACTGTTACAACATGGAACATACAGACGTTACAGCTCCAGGGTCTTCTCGAAGAGCTTGTTTGCCATTTAACTAAATAAATGGCAATTTTAATTTTAATTTATAATGATGTTATGTTTTAATCCCAGGCTCAGAAAGCATCACAGTACTTGATAATCCTGTTTTGTGACTTTGTGTTTTTTAATGATATGATACTACATCAATAATCAATACCCCAGTAACTGATCTCCTCTTACGTTAATATAAATGCATTGAAATTGTACATGAAAAGCACTAATTATTATCTCAGTGATATTTAAACTGAGGTATGGTGACAATAAATACAAATAAAGACACAAGCCTTTTTGTTGCTTGTTTCAGAGTTTGACTTGCGATCATTCCTGTGCTCGGAGAGTGAACAGCTGATCTGGAAGAGTCAAGGGCTGCCATCAGATGATCTCTCAATGGAGAATGCACTGGTTATACTGCAGGTTAGACTAATATTTCAAATCTGCATCTACAACGTGACACAGGGATTTACTAAATATAAACACAAATTTCAGTCTCTTTTTGCCTACTTTATATAAGGATGTTATTAATACTATTTAGGCATTGGCTTGCTTATTTCACAACACTGTATAAAATATTTAAAAAGACATTAAAGTACAATACAAACCCAGCATTAACATGATAAAACAAGTCTAGCTGTACCGAAAGTTGTGTCCTTGTTGCCATACGTCTGTGCTCCATTTGGTTGTATCGTGTTTGTGTGTTGTTTTTATCATCGCCACCACCAGATCAATGCACTCAAGTTGAAGGTAAGAAGTCCATCATTCATCCTCGTAGCTGTTTCCTACATAGCTAGTTTATTTATTTAGTGTTTCTTTGTCTCTCTGTTTCTCTTTTGCTTTTGTGTTTGCCTTGAAACTAGTGAGAAAGAGATGTGCTGTCACTTTATTAGGTACACCTAGAGAGTACCAGGTTGGACACCTTTTGCCTTCAGAACTGTCTTAATTCTTCGTGGCATAGATCTCGCACATCCCAGACGTGCACTATTGGACTGGGATGGTGACTGTGGAGTCCATTTCAGTCATGTGAACTCATTGTTATGTTCAAGAAACATAACAATGAGACAGTTTGAGATTATTTGACTTTTCTGACATGGCACATTGAGTTCATGCCATGTGGTTAGAAATTTGCATTAAGGAGCAGATGGACAGGTGTACCCAATAAAGTGTCTAGGGAGTATGTGTACGCATACACTCTCGCAAAAATGACATAGATCATATAAAATTTTGGGGGTTCTTGGAGACATCAAATGGTCCGCTCTCTCGCTGAATGTGCCGTAACTACTTGTGGGCAAATTGTCAGTGGTTCCATGTACAAGACTTGTAGATGATTTGCCTCAGAACTGATTTGTCAGGCTCATGAGCATTCACAACCATTTCTTTTCTAAAGGCATTAGAGATCTTTTTATATTGCTGCACACTTCAGCTGGTACAAGAACAGTGGACCCTATCCGGATAGAGATTTCAAAAACACTGGTTTCAGCTTTCACTGTATAAACAAACTGTAATCATTGGTGTGTATGTGAGAGAGAGTAAGAAAGACGGCGAGAGAAGGACTCCTGTGCCTGATATAGGAAGGTGGTAAGTATGATAGCACTGTGACGGGGCTAAACCATATGCATACACACATGCAGTGCACATCATTTTCTAGGTGAGTTGTGTGCTTTATCAGTAAAACTATCCTAAAACAACTTCAGCTGAAATGTCCTGCTTTCTCCTCATTTCTGACTCAGAGTGTTGCGGCTCCATTCCTGATCGACCCATCATCCCGAGCTACAGAGTGGCTATGTACACATCTCAAACAGCACAGATTAGAGGTTATCAACCAGCAGGTAACAACACACAATCAGTAACATGTGTCGTGGAATGGAGGGTCATTAATCTGTTAGATTTTGCAAAATCCTGTGCACACACTGGTGATGTGCTTTGTTTAATTCAGTTAACCCTCATTCTAACCCGTTCTTTCTTCTTTTTCTAAGTTTTCCGTTAGACATTCTTGACTGATCAGTTTCTTCTTGTCTAATGAATCCAAGTTTCTCTTCTTTACTAGAATATCTTAATCATTTAGAAGCAAGCCTTAACCATACTTTGATCGGTCCAGGTAATGATTTTAGCAAAAAGTTATGATGATTACGTTAAGTAACACTGGTGTCCATTACTTATCACTTAACTGTTACATATTAATTACTGCATTAGTGTCATCAGGTACACTGAAAACACTCATTTAATTATTTATTTTTTGTATATGTATTTAAATTGCTTGGTTTTTGCTTAATAACTTGTTAAAACTCTCTAGACGCTCTAGATGTAAATGCTTTGTTTAGAAAGAAAATATAAGATTTATTCATCTTCCAACTGTAATTTTTTTCTTTTTTTTCTTTTTTAATCGTAATCGTACTACAACTATAATTACTCTTCCATCCACCAGATACACGAGAGAACTGTGTTACCATCCACCTCTAGAATTTAATGTAATCTCTTAGTACTGGGTGTCTGTGTGGCTTCTCTCTATAGGATAATAACTTCATGACATCCCTAGAGCTGGCAGTCAGATTTGGAAAAACCCTTATCATCCAAGAGATGGATGGAGTTGAACCTGTGCTCTATCCGCTGCTGAGGAGAGACCTAATAGCACAGGGTACTCACACATTCTCACAAGCACAAACACCAATTTCATACAAAGTTGGGCTGAAGAACTCTTTTGGGCATAATTCAGAGGCTTAAGCAACCTCAGGTTGCTGACTACTCACCTCTATCCAGGGGCTACTTTTCTGCAGCGTAGTGAAATCCCATTCTGAGGGATATTGCCTCAAAGTTTAATTAACCAATCCTGACTAGTGCATTGGGCCATCACAGTACTTCTTCTCACTCTCAAAAGCCTTACTCTGTAAAATATTAAGTAAATCAAATGGTTAAACATTGACTATTCATGTTTTATTTTATATTCAGACAAGACCTTTCCACAATACAGTCACAGTAAAGGGAAAGTTAAAAGAACTCAGCCAAAATGCAGAAGCATCCCTCATTTCTCTATAATTTACTTCAAAGTTGCCAGACTTCTAATATGTTTTAATTGGTCTTCAGTGTTTTAGTTTTGGACATGTTTTTTTTCCACTCATTTTCAGGCCTTCTATCTTACCATTGTTTTTTGTTTGTTCGGTTGCTTAACACTGTCCTGTGAATTGTTTACAGATGGCTTGATAAAGAACCAATTAGAAGCCTGATGCAAAAACACATCATTTGTTTACATTTCTATATAAAATGTCTATGTCTGCCTTTATGAAATTAATCTATGAAAAATGGAAAAGATAAAATAGTTTTACAGGCATAAAAAATAATATTTTTCTGCTAAAAAAGGTGATTATTGAAGAGCTATTTGCTGAAAACATGGCATATATCAATATGGTGTAGACTTTGTCCTTAAACAATTTGAGGAAACTACAAAGCTGGTCACAAAAGATGAAGTGGCAGGCTTTAAAAAAACGGCCTACAGCAGATGAGCTGTATCATAAAGTCATGTCATCAAGAAATAGAAAAAAGTATCCGGCAAAGACCTGACACAGGACCTCAGAGATGCATCTGGCCCTTCAGTCAATTCATCTACTGTTCACTGAAGCATCAGCAGAAATGGTCCCATTGGAACGGTGGCAATTAAGAAGCCATTCTCAAGGAAGGCAAAAGGGGAGAAAAGGCTGAGCTATGCTGAATTACTCAAGAGCTGGACAGAAATCAGTGGTAACAGCTCTATAAAACACGGTGGAGGCTCTGTCATGGTTTGGGGCTGAATTTCAGCCAGTGGTGTTGTGGATCTTATCAAAGCGGATGGATTTACAAACATAGAAAAGTACCGTCAGATCTTGATCCACCTGGATACAAAAACACAGAGTGGATCACTACCAGTCATGGACTAGCTTCACCAGGGCCCAAACCTCAACATTGTTGAAGCAGTGTGGGATCATGTTGAAAACTTAAAGAAATCACAAGAATAACCCTTCCCACATTATTGCACAGCAGCTGTTGCTTCTCTAAGACCATTGCTGATGATTTACTCCTGGCATTGTGTTACAGTTTTTGCCCGTTGCCTGAACACATTTTGCAAAACTTTGCTCATTGTGCCAAAACCCTAAAC